ACTACATGAGCTTTTGTTTTACTATCAGAGAAATCATTCTGAATCCTTATAAATCAGTTCCCATAGTGAAAGTAGGCTAAAAAGATAGGTGATTCAACATAGTAATTCCACAAAACCCCAGAACGTTTTTGTCTCAAGGACAAAGTTAATTAAGTTAACCCACAAGGACAGTTACATTTAAAAGATTCAGGACCCAGCAATTTTTTCAGAAGGTCATCTCTGCTTCAAAACATAATTTTGCTTCTTTTGGAAAAGAACTTTAAAATGAAATTTCAGGATTCAAGAACTGAAAGACAAAGATTATTCTTTTAATAAGACCATTCTTGTTTTAACTTTAAAGCTAGTCTCATGCTATTGTGGAGTCTGCCACAGTTTACTGGCAATCTTAAAATAATAGAGGCATGATAAGTGTCCTGGAACATTGTCTGAGAGTAATTCCATCTGACAAAAACATGCTACAATAACAGTAATTTCTACTGGCTTCAATTTCTACTTTTAGTTGACAAGTAATTGGCCAAAGCTACCACATTTTCCATTTTAAAAGATTTTTCTTTGTAAAGAACCAAAATGTTGGAAGAATTTCAGCCAAAATCTATTTAGAGGGGATGACAATTACCTACATTGATAACACATTTGTTTTGTGTATCTGTGGGAGCCAAATATTACTGTCATCTAATTTACATGATCAGTTAGGATATTTTCTTCTGAATAATCCAAGTTACAGAGTAAGAAGTACCTTTGCAACAGCTTAAATTCAGATATTGTGAAATTAGTCTCCAAAGCAACAACTTAGCCCAAGAAAAGCTTCAAATTAAGACTCCTTTTGTAAGGAGATTTGTACGGTTGTGTCTCCTTATGTAATGATGATATCTTAATCTAATGTAATCTCCTAAAGCCTATGCAGTTCTTGCATGTAAAGTACAGGCCAGACAGGAAGACCTTTCATGAAATAAGAGCACTACTATGGCCCCATGATTCAGATGAGAGTCTTAAAAAAATGAAATCTTTGCTTACCTTAGAATTTTCAGAGGAGAAACCATTTCTAACATAAGCAGAAATAAGATCATAAACTGGCATTTCTATCTCTAATCTCCCATAGAAATAAAACTAGTGTACTTTGGCAGGCTTACTGGTTATAAGAGTATACCCAGTTCTCTGCAGAGCTATAAGGGCTCTGTATAGCAGCAGGAGGAGCTGTTGAATGTGAAGCCTGATCAAGTCATGAGACGTGTTCGTGATTCAGAATGTCTTCTTCATAATCTTCAGTGAGAGGACGTCACTGCTGCAGGTGGTAGAACACGTGGGATGTTTCTGCCTGTGGAGGGGTGGGTCATGTTTGATAGGTTGTCTTCTTCATAGTCTTCATTGAGAGGAAGTCACTGCTGCAGGTGATAGAATACATGGGATGTTTCTGTCAGTGAGAGGTGGGTTTCCTTCTGGCGGAGGGAGGAAAAATGAATCTTACCCTTGTTTTGCTGTCTGTTGTGTCAAGTTTTCACAAGTTTTGTAACGGAGTAATCACCCAGCTGGTAGCTTTAGAATCAGGTTTTAACTTCATTGCTTGTTTTGACATCTGAATTTAGGTACGTGCCAAGTGTTACATCAAACCTGATTAGTGATTTAGCACTGTTTCTCTCAATGATTAATCCTGGTTGCTTTGCAGACACTAAAAACTGCCCAGGATGAGTTTACAATCCTAAAAGCATGAAGTTTCAGAGTTAATCCAAACTATTAGTATTGCAGATGTTTTTCTCATGCTACTAGGATATGTCTCTAAGCCTTTTTTTTTTTTTTTTTGAGGATATCAGTCTCTTTGCTTTCATCTCTTAAGGAAACTTCCAAGTCATAAGCAGCTCTAGTGAGCTGTCAGGTGCCCTGTTTGACTCCCTGTACACCCCATTCATCCACAGTATAACCAGGTTCCTTACTGGTTCAACCCTAGGTTTCCCTTAGCAGAGTCTTAGTCATCGAGTTCCACAAAGCAGTTTATTCACGGTGCAATAACACAGCAACAGCCCAGCTGGATGCCTCCGAGGAGGGACCCTCCTCTAAGGCCCCCTGGGCTTTTATACCCTCACAGTCTACCTGCACATAATTCTCCCTCTTCCTCCTGAATCTTCTGATCTTGTAGCCTTTCTGTGTCCATTCTCGTTGCTGGCACACCCGTCTTCATCTCCTTTGTTATCGGAAAGGTCAGCAACTCCCAGCTCCTGCTGTATCTCCCAGCATCCATTCACCTGGCTAGCACCACCCATTCTCATGCCCTTTTGTTATCTCAAAGGTTGGTAGTTCATGGCCTCTTGTCTCTGGCTTCTCACTTGCTCTGTCACCATTGCAATCTACATCTCAATCTGCAGCTTGAAAGCAGAATCACCTGGACCAGATGTATTCCTCAACACATCATACTCCAATGAGAAAACGAAACAAGTGAATTACAGTGTACTTTCTAAGTTTCTTCTTTTGTCTGATTCATTTGACCAAACAAAAAGTCACGGAGCTTTTTCAGTCAAGGTCTCACAGACACATGATATAAATGAAACTTTTCTGTAGTAGATGTGTTATGTACCTGTTGCTGAGTTGTAGCTTAGAGTTTTGGGGGTGGTGATTTGTTTGCATAGGTTTTGTCTTGTTTTGTTTTCTTTTGTTTGTTTGTTTCTGGAAAGAACAAGTTCAGTTTTCACATAGCTTTCTTGAGGTGTAACTAATCCCATGTTTTTAAAAATTGTTGCTCTTTCTCAGACTTTTCTTTGCTTTCTGTTATTTATGAAATGTGCTTATGAAACACAAGACGCACAAGGAACATAATATTCTGTCTTCTCTGCTGCTTAACGTTAATGTCTCCTGACTTGTGCCAGAGGCAGAGTGAAAGGCAGGAGTCTGCACTGATTTTGAAATCATTCCTCCAGGAGGTAACAACTATTTTAAAACCCATTTGTGGCTGAGTTGTCTTCAACAGTTCTTTGCAGTAAATTTCTTCACACTTCGCTTTTAAATTTCATCTGTTACTATGCTGCTCAGTTATTTTTGTACTAAATGCTCTGGAGACTTTTCTGTACCCTTTTTGTGTCCCAGTAAATGCAGAAATCATCTCTGTTTTAAGAACCAAAAGTCTGATTGTTTCTGTGATGTGTAAAAGTGGGATAGAAAGTGAGTATCTTCTAATGGAAAGTAAGGTCTCTTACTCCTGTCATGTCATGTTAGTTATATCCTCCTGATAGCCACTGAGCCCTTTGTACTCTGAATAGTTGCACAGAAAATAGTGCACTGCTGGGGCACTGTGTCCTGACTGACCTCTTGGAGATCTCACATGCGAATAATGTAATAGGGGATTTATGCCATGATTCTTTGCTAGTATCTTTTTCTGTAAGGGAAAGTTCAGTGGATAATGACTAGCTGGAAGCAAGGTTCTGTTTGAGCCATATGTTCAGTGTATGATCCTGGCAGTCTCCTGAACTTTGGTGATTTATTTGGAGAGCAAGGGAAATACATCTGATCTCTTAATGAGACAGCTTAGAAGACTGCAATGAAAAAAATTCTCAATAAAAAATACAATGGTATTTTGCTCCCTCTTCAGGTCCTCTGTGGGAAACAACTGAATAATCCCTCATTTAATTAAGCAGTTAAAAAAAAACCCCAATGAATGCTCGTGTGCTGTTTCTGCTTCTCTAATCCCCACTTGCTGCAGCTCCTTAAGATATTCATTGAACCAATATTAGCTGTTCCTGAAAAAGCTGTTCCAGTATTATGTTCTTGAAATCTGTGTAGCAGCAATATTAATGTCAGCACACAGAAAATAGCGATTTAAGCGTATTCTTTGCATTCTTTTTGCAAAGCCAGTTGATAATCCTGAGATAGCTTTCCTCTAAAGTTTCCTTTGCTGCTTTCTTGTTTTCAAAAAGCTTTGTAAAAATTATTTAAGATATTAAAAAATATTGTATTGGGGGACTTTTTTGTTTGGTTGGTTTTTGTTCACACTCTCCAGTAATTTAAAACAGCTCAGTGAGTGCAACACAGCAGCAGAGCTGTCCTGTCCCTAGCTCTTGCTCTTAACTGTTTTTATAACCGCCAAGGTAATAACATTATTAATCCTTGACTGCTATATTGACCACTTGCAGCCATCTAGGGCTGACTCCTAATAGCAGATTACGTGTTTTCTGTAGCTTACCTGCTTCATTCTAAAGCTCCTTCAAAGTTCATTCTCCCTCTACCAGACTTCAGTTTAAATAGTATCTATGTTCTTTCCAGTTCTCTTAAACATTCCTGTATAAGCCAATGAGTGAAAAAAAAAGAAAGAGAAGAGTCTGAAATACAAACCACACTATAGGTTTGATATAGGAATGTAGACTTGGAGAGGCCATGGTCAACCTTAGAGCATGGAGGCTTTGGGAATGTGCTGTGCACAGACAGAGAGACTCCATAGCCCATGAGCATCGTGTTTGTCCCTGTGTGTGCATGGCAGTGCTGGCAGTAGTGGCATTTGACCCACTGCAGAGCAGCAGAGGCTCCTTTTGACCTGTTAGCTTGGTGCTTGTGAGGGCCTGCAGAGGGCCTTACTGGGTCTGTAACTATGATCCCCAGCTGTTGTTGGCAACTGTGTCATAGCTACTTTCATAAACTGAAGAGGACTCTTTCCTGATCCTCTCCTCAGCTATTGAAGAGCTATTCCTCCATCTCCCTGCTGTGACCATTAAAAATCATCCTGTGATTCCCACCCCAAGTTTATTCCCAGTCAGACTGTAATGCTCATTTATGGGTCCATTTGGCCTTTAACGAACCAGCTCTTTCTACAACCACTAATGTGTTTCTTGAGAAAAGTCACGTTTTCACAGCCTCTAGACCAAGTCAAGATCTTTTAGTCTTCTCAAATAGTCTGCGCATGTCCTAGGCTACCCCAGCTGCTCTTCTCTTTACTGTTTGAATTTATTGTTGTTCTGTACAAAAGAACAGACAATTTGTATTGAGGTATGTTTTATTTTTTACTCTATTTTCAAAGTACTGTGTCAGTTAAAGAAATAAAAAGCACGGAAAAAATAGAACTTGTGTCTCTTTCTCTCAGTAGTGTTTTCTCTGAGGTATTTTTTCTCTCTTACTGAATCATGTAAATGTTTTTGTGCTGCTGTCTTAGAGAAGGAATGCTGCAACTCCAGCAGTGCTGTCTGCTGCTGACCCTCACAGCTAGGGATCCATTCAAGCAGTGTTGTCTCTCTTGGCCCGTTCTCTGGTCTCCATGCAGGCTGACATGCTTCTTGATCCCAGAGTTTGCGCAAGAAAATTCTGCTTTCCTCACTCATTACATCCAGTGATAAGCTTGGTTTACTTAGACTAACTCGCGTTTCCCATATTTTATGTTGATCCAAGTGTCTGGGCTTGAAGCCTTTCCAGGAAAGGAAACATGCAGATTTTGGAAAGGATTCAAATTTGGGCCTTCCTGAAAGCTGTACAATGCTTCTGTTTGCCACGTGTCAGTGATTTTCTGCAGGTTGTTTATTGGTGGGCTTATATCAAGATAAGGAATTTTCTGGCAGCATATCTGAGGCAGAGTGACCTGCTCTTGGCTCACATCCCATTTCTGGTTTGTGTTTTCTGTCACTTTGCACCACTGACCTCGGCTGACCGCTGTTTGCACCACTGACCTCGGCTGACCGCTGCTTTTATTTCACTCAGCATTGTGCCTGAGGAGCTGGCTATGACAGTAGGAATGCTGGATACAGGTGGAGGCATCTGAACACTGAAGGAGTATTGTTCTTGCAGAATTGATTCATGAGGATGTTCACCTCAAAGTAAGCATGCAGTGTGCCCTTCAGGAGGTCTTGCTTGTGAGAGACTAGGTAGAAATGTTTCTTTGTCTATGGAGGAAGTGGTAGGATTTACAGTGTCATCTATGTCTCTTAGCAGGGACTCCTTATTTTATCAGACCATGGCCCATGACTAGTGAAAAGGCCTGGTTAGAGAGAGGTCTCTCAGGCAAAGGGAAACAGCCCAGACCTTTCTTACTGCCCTGTCACACAGGGAGCTCAAGCTCAGTCTTTATGCTGTTCCACTCCAATGCATAAGATATAAATGGGTATAAGTGTCTTGTGCTCTCTCCTCCTTTCTTCTATCAGCATCTGTTTTCCAATTTGTGGTCTCCTAACAATATGATAGTATAACTGGTGACTTGCATTGGCATGTTTTTAACTTCTTTTAGGAACTGTTACAGGTGGGATTTAGGATCCTGCCTAGCACATGACTTTTTAGCTTTCTCAACCACAGTTTGATTCCCTACTTGAATACTGTTAACCTGTATTAATCATTTGCATTATAGAGGCTTCAGATACTGGTGCAGAGTCAAAGCCAGACTGTATAGGATCTATTCAAACATAAAGTACATTTGAGTCCTATAGCCAAAGAATGAACCTTAGCAGTTACTGTGCTGAACAGTCTGACTGTTTGATGTTCAATGTATGTATGCTTTAAGTGGATGAATGTTGTTTGGATAAATCAGCATGGCCCAGGGTAGGCCTCTTCCAATCATACTTTGGAAGCCAGAGGGCAATAAAACTGCTCAGTTTTGAATTAATGTAAGATGCTAGTCTGGATTTTCATTTCCAGAGACAAACTGTTGAAAGTGTTCTTTGAAGCATTCATCATCATCAAGCAAAACATTTGTTTCTTCATCACACTGGAGAAAATGTTAGACAGCTTTTTAATTTCAGATACAGGGATTCAATTATCAGAAACTTGTAAATGCCATTTCAAAAGGGATTCTTTGCTTGGAATTATTTTTAATCCAATAGAAAAAAAAGCAGGACAATTTGGGGACTTTTCATCCAGGGCCATTTTGGACTATAACTAAGAAAATGTCAGCACCTTACTGAGTTGCCCTGCATCTTTGATATTTCATGCAGTTTGTACCTGGAAGTGCTGTAAAGCCAGCAGAGCAGGAATCTGTTCCTTCTGTTTTATCTGCAGAATTGCTTAGTCAGTTACAAGCAATCCAAGCTGTGTATATAAAACCATTATAGGTAGCGATGCATTAGCAAAACGCTGCTCGACTTGATTTGCTATGCTTATCTACCAGGTTATGCTCCACTTGCATGAAGAGCACTTAATGCAAATAGTGCCTTTTCACTTTTATACAGGCCAGACAGAATATAAAATGTGTTGAAGAGAACAGAGTTTTTCAATATAGTTTTATACATTCTTTAGTGTAAATCTTTGCATTAAAGTAGAATCTGGTAATGCTACTGATGTACCCTGGAGGAAGAAGGCAAATCACTCATGTAAATGGAAGAGGATAAATCATAGAAACTCTGCCAAATTTAAACTGCTATGGTTAGTAAGGAAACAATAGTCTGCAATGGTAATAGTTCACTTATCAAGACATGTAGTGCAATGAGGACAGTAAGTTGATGGGTTCAGTGGTATTATCCTGATTAATACCAGCTGAACATCTAGCCAGTATGCTTAGTCTACAGTGCTACCCCATTCACATGAGAGCTGCCAGCTTGTTTTATGTAGACCGTTACTCATACTACTGAAGGCAAAAGGTCTTTTGAATTGCTGTTGTGTTGGTGGCAACTTAAAATGATAAGATAAAAAGTAAGCAGATAATCATAATAACTTCCCCTCCTGCAAACCCTGAGCAAGTCATTAATCCATTGCAGGAGTTCTGTCAACCAGCTGTGTCAGGACTGATTTAGTATACTGAACTTTTGCCTCTGTTTTAGAGTGAGCTTTGCCCTGTGCTTAAAGTATTATCAAAGGGAAGGCTTAATTCTGCTAGCTGAATCTGATAATACTCTTGCCAGTACTACTTGTGGTGAAAGCACAAGATTCTTAGTAAATGCAGTACTTGCTAGTTTCACGTCTTTACCTAGTTCTCCAGTTAATGTGCAAACTGCTTTCATGTAATAGTTATCCAGGATAAGGAGATATATAGGACCTTTTCCTTAACAGAGACATATTTTATTGTCACACATTTTTATTGGTTAGGAAAATAAGAATTAATGCACAATCCCCCTGAAAACCATCAGATAACCTACAGTTCCTGTGTCCTTTGTTACTAAATCATAAAAAACAAATTTCTTAGAGAAATTCAGTGGCTAGCACTTTGTGATCTCTCATTGCTATCCCATGTAAATTAATTTAACAAAAAATGCTTACCTGTGAAGTCCTGACTGTATGTTGTGATCTCTAGAGTCCCTTCATTGCGTATTGATTGTTCTTGAAGACAGGTTATGTTCTAGCTCTTGAAAGTGGAGTTGGGGGCCACCATCTTTGGTGGATTTATATAGTATATTTGACCCTTTTCTTCAACAAACTTAGGACACTGAAGGATAAGAAGAAATAGATAAGGCATAAACCAAGTATTTGTGCTGGATGGAAAAGGCTATTTTAAAAGCCTGAAATAATACATGTTGCATCACCCTCCCCTCACCCAATTATCTGTTTAGCAAATGCTCATAAAAGTAAAATCTGGTGGAAAATGCATTTCGTACAGTATTACTATACACGTATTATGTATCACAGTATTAATTTCATTATTGATTTTACTATTATTCCTTCCATGGAAGTTTCAACAGGTACATAATTCAGCTGAACTCAAGTCAAGTAACATGGAATTAATTTCTCCATGGTAGTTATACATGGCAGGCAGGGAAAGCTATATAAGTTTTCTTTTATAGTCACAATTACAGACTGCCTTAAAAGGGCCTGCTTCTTACTGTTTCCATTGCCACATCTCTGAACAGTGTGTCCACAAAGGCTGTATCTTTCTTTGTTCACTGCTATTCCTACATTACTCATAACTTTACCTGTCATTAAACTTCAGGCCATATCTCTTTGGGAAGATAACTAGTGTTTAGCCAAGCTGAAGAACAGTAGAAATGTGATAATTCATAAACAAATTCACTCTTCTGTTTTATGGACCATCTTTACCTGGGGAAGGCAAGAACATCCACAAAGAGGATGTCTATTTTCTTGAAGACATGGAAATACAAACACCAGCCTGTCAGTATGTTGGCAGGACTTGTGGAGGAACAATCATCTACTGCTGCCCAAATCCGTTTCTTTGAAGGCCTATAGAGCATAATCTGGGCCTCTGAATGAAGAACATCCCCCTTCTTCTATTCCCCCAAATATATGGTCAGCAGCTACTATTGCTTCTTCTTGTTTTTCTTATCTCCAGAGCTACTTGGCTAGGTCCTATGAGAGCTAGTTAGTACTTAAAGGACTTCAGTCACAGCACAGCTTGCTAGCTTTTGATCTTGTTTATATATTGCTGAGGTGGCTGAAAACTGTCTCTAAAGCTTTTTACTCTTCGTATGCCTGATGCCTAACTCATGGCCTGTGTCTGGAACAGTACAGGAGCTCTCTGTGTAACAACTCTTCTTCAGGGAGTCAGAGAGGATACTAACGGCTTCACGCCTATATGGATTACTTACAGGGGAAATGTTTAACATGTTCTAGTTGAACATCATTTCTCAGAATGACAGATGGATCTACATTTTAAGCTGTAGATGAATACTCTCTATAAAGACATCTGTGCTGGTGGAAGAGGTTCTTTCTGTGAGCTGCTGCTAATGTCTCTTTTACCTTTGGAAACTGACCCAATGGATGTGCAAACAGAACTCATCTTCACTCATTTGGTACAAAATCAGCAGGACTAGAACAGGTCAGCCATTCTATCAACACAAGTTAGCCCATGTGCCGTGAAGTCTTTTTGGAAGCACTCAATGTGGTCATCTGCACCACTAGATCTGCAAGGCTAGTTGTCTTGGGCAAAGAGTTGGTGATAAGAAGCTTAGGGCTGGATCTCTACCAGAAAAATGCCTTTGCAGGAGCTCTGGACTGATTCACACACCAGCAGGGAAGATTCTGATTCCATTTTCTGTACATGATTTTTACATACAGCAACAGCAAAGAATAAAGCTGTCTTGTGAAGCTGGCTCTGAACTCATATGGTCACCATCAGGAATAACTGAGTGCTTCTAGATGCCTTGTAAAATGAAACTGCAGTGCAGTTAGTTTCCAAGCCTGTTTCTATCACCACTTTTTCTCTCCAGGCTTTCCATCTCTGTTTTTTTATTTACCTCACAATGATGCTTTCAGTGTTAATGATGTAATTGCTACTCAGAGTTTTGTAAAGGTGAGATGTGAAAAAGACACAAAGCTTTTAAACACAACCTTCCAGTGGTAAAAGTCACCTGAGTGTTGTCTGGGTTATTTGTACTTTACTGGAGATTTCTCCTGCAGTCACTGAGAACTGGAGTGTCCTGATCATATCAAAACATTTAGAGGGAACAGCAAATGAATTTAAAGTATTTTCTAGGTGCCAGTGGTAACTGCCCCCTTAGCTAGTAATTTTGAACCTGCTAAGCTTTGCTGGAAATAGGTCTTGTTCTCTGATGATCTTCCTGTTGTGTAAAAATAGGCTTTCTAAGTCCACCTCCACACATGATTAGTGTTTCTTAAATTGACCAATGATCAATCAAGAGAAACTGACTAAAAATGACTACTCCTAGCATTACATAATCTGTGGAAGGATTTTGGGTTTGGATGGACAAATACTCCACTAAAAATGGCTCATGTACCCAATTATATACATAACTGTACAGCACTGTGCCAGTGATGGGGAACAGCAGCTAGTTAATGCAAATTGACCTCCCACTGAACATTATCAGCTTTTACTTTCCTGGAATCTTCTTATCCATGCCAGTGCATGCTTTTTCTGTTTCACACAGTTATGGCCAAACATTTCCTGGCAAGCACTGCCATAGTACCCAGAGGTACTCACTTTTTCCTGTCCCAAATTCCCCATAATCGTGTGTGGTCATCAGCTGCCAAGAACTCCTCATCAGTTCATGCAGGTGATCTTTAAAGTCTTCTGAAACAAAGTACCTGTCAGTTGTAGTAGAATGCTTTCAGGAAAAAGCAGATTAAGAAGAAAAATTTCATGCCTTTTTCCTCCAATTTATTATGTAAAACACTCTCAGGGTAAAATGCTGCTGGGATTAAAAACAAACACCTCATGATGGCTTACACAGTGTTCTGCAAATGATCAATGTCTAGGGCTTCACCTTAGTCTTTGTAAGGGATAAGAAGAGCTGTTTTTTTTTCTCCCTGAATCTTGTTCTACCATCTGTGTAGTGATAAAATGTTTTAAATAATTCAGCTCTTATTTCAGGTATATTTCTGTTGTCCTCAGCAAGGGTATGGCAGGCATAACTTTGGGTCTTCCAAACTGCTAGCTTTTGATCCCACTGATGCATTTTTATTTCCATTTTGCTTTCCCTGTTTTGGACTGTGAAGAATTATTTATCTGAGAGAAGTTATCAGATACACTAAATGGTCCATCTTGCTTTTGTGGGGAGTAACAGCTATGTTAATAGATCTCTTGGCTTCTGAGGCTACAAAGTGGTCACATGAGTTGCATTTATTCAGCATTCTCAGTGCTGAGACACCCTCCATGGAGACTGCAACTATCAGCACATATGGCTCTAAGCCAAAGTGCTTGCCTTGATCACGAATGTATTCAGATTCTGGGTCTGTTAAACTTCAGTTCTAAGTAAGTTTCAAGAATAAATAGTAAGCCAACAGAGTACTGTCTTATCTCTGGTCTTCCTCAGAACAACCATGTCAAAAGCCTTGATAGAGATATTGGGATGGAAGGGCTGATGACTGTTGCATCGATTTCAGTGTCTCTGTGATCCTCAGGTGATCTGAAGTTTGGGAACATGGCAAATCTAGAGTTTGTGTAGGGTAGGAATGAGAGGTGGGGAAATGGCAGGCACAGTGGTCTTGGATTGGTTTGAGTTGTCAGGAAGAAGGACAGAAAGAATGTCCTTATTTCACATTTCACTGAGTTTTAGATTAAATATAACACTTTGCATGAGCTGGGAGAGATGTGAGAATCAGAAAGGCAGTATCTTAGTTCTTTAATCCCCTCTTGCTTGCACCCTGCAAAGAATTCCCAGTGATGCTGCCCTTGCAGCTTTTGTACATAATCAGTCATACCAATTCTCATTTAATTTTATGTGACTTAAGGAAAGAAAAACGTGGACTTGATTCTTGCACAGCCCAAATTAATAGTAACTGAGTTTGTGCTTGTGTAATCAAAATTTGCTTCTAAGAAGATATTTATTTCTGGGGGGATGAAGGATAAAGCTAAACTGGAGATTTTTATGAAATACTGAGAACTGGGTTTAATGGAGTGCCCATGTTCCTGTGGCTGTTCTTTTCAGCTTTCAGCTTTTCATGCTAGAATAATGAGGAACTTACTAAAATCAGGGGAATCATGAAAATTAAAGGAAAAATTAAAGGAAAATTAAAGCGGCAGTTTATTTCAGTAAGGGAAACTAGCACCCTGTTTAGATTCTTCTAAACTTTACCACAACTGCATAGAGCAGCTTACTGAGAGCAAGCACCTTCGCCCAGTTGTTGTGTAAAGCAAAGTCACAACCTTCTACAGGAGCCAAATTAATTCCCTTCTCGAAGCTGTGCATCATGACATAAGATGTCTTGCAAAACTGGCCTTTTCTGAGGCTTCTCTTTCATAAATTTGTTTTATGAGAGAGAAGCTGTGCTTTGTAGGTGCTCCCAAACACTTTAATTTACATTAGGTAAAGAGCCCATTATCAACACAGCCAAGCAAACCCAATTAGCTCATAGGCAAGTCAGCAAGATCAGTATTCGTTAGGAAAGTGGGTGCGCTAGGCAAACACTGCTAATCTGCTAAAACGAATCATTACATGCTTCATTCAAGAGAAAGATTTTTGCCTTGTAGTGTTGCTGCTGCTTATTGCCAAGGCACCTACACCATGTAATTATAGCTGTTAGAGGGACAACTTGCCCGTTTATTTCATTAAGGAAAGATAAGATATACTTCAAATGTACTTAGCCAAACTGTCTGGTGGTTTGTGAAGCCTATATTAGGAAAGAAATATAAGTTACCTGAAGTGACCCAGATTCATTTGCACCTCCCACACTTTATGTGAATCAGTGCAATTGATACACACGAGGGACAAATCAATGTGTAAGCAGTGCAAACAATATTCTTACTGATACCACTCATTATATGAGGAATGTTTTGTGTTGCCAGGTGCCAAAGAGTGGAAAGACATCTGGAACATGTGATGTGCAGAACATCTTTTAAAAGGAGTGAGGGAAAAAAATCTATCTTCTTATACTTTTGTGTAATGTGCTCTATGTTAATTAAAAATGGTATGTGCTATTAGTAAAAAGAAATCCTTTTATCAGTAATAAAAACCAAAAAAAATCCTGTTTATACTTGCAGACAAAGTACTTATTAATACCATGCAAATAAATTATTTATATTTTACCTTGGAGACTTATTTTATGCTTCAAATATTTTTTAAAATCCAAGCAAAAGAAAATACTAACTTTAAAGGGCAAGAATTTCATTACTGAGCCTAGTTAAGAGTCTCTTGGCAATTGTACCAAATCAGAAAAATATCTAAGATTAAAAAAATAATTAATTTGCTTAATGGTTCTTTATGGTATAATGAAAAACAAAAATAAAAATGCCTGAAGTACGGTATTACTAGGCTAATCTAAGTGGTTCATTTGGAACTCAAAAATCTTGTGTATTTCATGAGAAAGGTTTATCTTAGTGTTCAAAGGGTCTTTAATGTAAATGGGTAGAAGAGGCTGTCTGATGATAGCTTTTTTCCAAGCTTTATTATTTGTACATTGATCACAAAGTTTCTTGATTCTTCCAGCTGTACACCAAAATCTTCATATTGCTAAGCCCCCTTGTTTTACTCAGTGAGGAGAGGGATGTCCCAGATTCATTCCCAAGCAGGAGATGATGATAACTTCTCAAGGCTCCTCCCTTTTACTTAGCTTGAGGACGAAGTCCTGTTGGGGTGTTAATAGGCCCCATGAGGACTCCATTATTTCATTCTTACTGGTTCCTGTGGGAAATCTCTTCCTCCCATGTCTGAGGTTTGCTCAGTAGTCTGGCTAATGACATAGCTGGGGCATGGAAGCTGCACCCAATTCCTCTTCAAGTCACCTGTGACTCAAGAGCTGCAACTTGGCCACTCCATCATTGAAATAGTCTCCATGAAGATAGGTGTCACGTGGTTACACAGAGGAAATATGCCCCTTCACTCAAAGAATTGAAATATAATCCTGTGCTTATTTCTTTCCATATGGACATGGGTGTTTTGAAGATAAACTTCAAGTGCCAGATCAATTTTAGTCACATGTTCTGATACACCATACAGAAGTCATGCACTTAATTGTGAAATCTGTGCTGTGATGCTAATGGAACTCAGTGCAATCAACACGAGGTGTGATATCTCACAAATTACCATGCCAGCATAACTCATGCTTCAGCTGAGCTGAACAAAAGATCTACTTTTAATGTGTGATGGTACAAAGATAATAGGACTTAAACAAAGTGTTGGATTCTGACAGCCATTTGTATATTGTTACACTTACAATGACCTGGGACACTGAATCAAACTTTGTCTCTTCTACAATTAGAACTGGTGCTGCATGTCTACTGGTGCTGTAGACATGAATGAGAATACTTAATGTTTCTTTTAAATTCACATTCTGTTACAGCTGTAATATTGTAACAGAATGTGAATTTAAAAGAAACACTAAGAAGTATTTTCAATTTCCATTTGTTTGTGTTACAATGTGATTTGTTACATTTGTCATTGCATTCATTGGACATGCTGCTGATACAAGTATGTATAAATAAGGACAGTCAGTCTGCCTTGTGCTCTGGCATGGCAGAACTACTTAAGTACCTTTGTAGACCTCTTTTCATTAAAACATCTAAACTTATGGCAGCAATAAAATAAGGATGAACACGCATTTTCATGTCTGCCAGGATTTAGAGGAGCTTTGTGAGCTCAGGTTGTAGCAGCCAGCAAAGCTTTGTGTTTTCAAGGGTGGACAGTTGTTTAGAGTGTTAAATTTCTAAAACTCATGCTGGGTAATCAAGCCTGAAGCCACACAGAATGGATGGCAGTATAGAAAGGTAGAGCTTTGACTGGAAAGGAAGTAAGATACAGCAGTTTTTTCTAAATTTGGCACTGAGATGCTTTCACTAGAGTTCTAGTAGACTTTCGCTGGAGTCTGCCATTATCACACAAGAAACAGTTGCTCAGTATTATGTCATCTTCCCCTTTATATTCAGTCCACAGAGGATATGGAGTCTGTCCATCTCTTGAGAAGAAGTCAGACACACGCTGGAGGGATTTATGCTCCCAGTGTGAAAAGGTCCAGAACAAATCCAGAGAGTGGTCCAGGAGGACACTATCCCATTTCCCTAACAGTGACTGCACTGTGGGCATTCTTCAAGCACTTTTTGATAAAATAGACATAAATCAAGTTTCACATGAAAGAGAGTATCCTTGTGGCTTCCCTGCAGTGGTTCTGCAGCTCCCCTCCTGATGTTGTGCAGAACATTAGGTGTAGAGATGCACTTGTTCAGTAATAACAATAGAAGACACATTGGAATCTGCATGACCTTCATAAGGGCTCCCACTTAGCGCTATTTTTCTATTCTCCAACACATTCTAGGAACCTCTGAAGATCCGTTTCTTCTCTCAAGTGTGGTTTTGTCCTGAAACTGATGCAGCGTGGGGAGCCTCATGACCTTCACCTTCTTTTCTAGATCAGGCCAGAGAACATTTTGCTGCTCTTTCCTGTTAATGTCCCACATAGTAATTATTAAGAGAATAAGGCATATGACTCTTGCCAATTTTAACAGAAAGGAAATTATGACTGGATAATAAATCGTTTCACATGTATAAATTGACTTTTTTCTGCAGCCTTTTAGTCTTGCAAAGGGAGGCAATCACTTATCTTGCCTAACCTTAAAACCTGCTTGGTCAGGGATCTGCGGGCTTGGAAACCACCAGGGGTCAAGGAGCTGGGAGACAGGCAAAGGAATGTAAGTGCTGTGTGGCATGATAAACAGTGAAAGCAGATTAAAACCTGCAGGGAAAAAAAATCCAGGTTTTATTCATTCTGTGCTGTTATTAAACCCACTGAAAACCTCATTGGTGTGCCTTGTCAGTGGAAGGACAGCTGCCAGCGCTGTAGCCTGATATGTGTGTAACTAGGGTTCTTGGCAATGTCTGAAGGGTGTTTTTCAAGGTCATTCGCCATTTTTGCAGTCTTGTTTGAGGTGAACTTGAGGACTCATTAAACCTTAGAAGGAAGGAGACAACTATTTTTCTCCAGTACATTTGATTGGGAGATCATATGTATATGACCCACTGTTAATGCACTTAGGAAAGCACATCTGTACAAACCCAGTGATTCATTCTTGTGTAAAACTGCAGCAGGATACATAGTGTGCATCCTTAAGGCAAAGGCATAGTTGGTCCTCGAAAGTATACAGAGTTACTGCAGATACCTGGTAATTAATTTCCTGCAAAAGACAGTAATGGCTCAAAGGAGCCATCACAGGCTATAAGGTAAATAAACTGAGTGTTAATAGCTCCCAGGTAGGTCTGCAGTACACCACTCAGAGAGTATTTTTCAGGACAGGTTCCATGTGGATCTCACCATTTAATAGTCCCTGAAGGCAGGAAGAATATTTGCTCTGAAAGACCTTGGACTATGAACACGGAAGACTTTTGTGAGTGTGTGCATGTTTCACTTTTTGTTTTAAAGGATGTATTCTTTCCTTCAATTTAAAAGTCTTACAAAGACCAAGAGAAAAGAATCTTATAGGAAAAGATACTGCTCAAACTGGGACCAAGCATAAAATATTTTTAGAGACCCAGCATATTTCAGGTTAAGGTGTGAGTGCATAATAATGGAGAAAGTACATCAATGTACTGTTGATCAAATATTCAGAGTCCAAGGTTATGAACCTTTCGGTATGTATGAGGACAGAGTTTGATCTACTCCTGTGTAAAACCTCCTTCCTCCTTATATAGCTGGTACAAGGACATAGAGTCACAACAGTCCCTGGTTGCTTCCTCTTAAGGAAGAAAATCACCAGAAAAATGCTGTGATCTCTACCTCAGCCTGTGTACCTGGATGATCCATTCTGGTGAGCAGCTGTCACAAGGAAGGCACCTCACAGCGCTGTAAATACAGCTGTGAACTCATCACAGAATTATTCTCAGGGTTCTAATATACTTATCAATGCCAATATGAGCAGTTGTTAATTTTCTGCTTCTGAAGAATTTACATTTACACTTTAAACTACCTTAATCTAAAATCTCAGGAGTTTGATCAAATTTTAGCGTTTTCCTGGTGCCATCAAGTGGCAAAATGTTGGATTACAGAACTCCAGCAGCATCCAAATTCACTCAGTCTATATTACCTCTTGAACAGCAGCAGTGAGGAAAATAATCCTTGACAAGCCTCCTCCAGAAAGGAATAGATATAAATACATATGAGAAAAATGGACTGAAATACACATGATGTCATGGTTACTTCAGTTTGTTCTGCATTCTAACTAGTAGAAAGGCTAATATTTTTTGTTATTGGTTGATAAATATAGACAATCTGTAAAGCAAACACAGAGACCCTTGTTGAAGAGATACTTAAACTGAAGTAGTACAATGCTGTGGTCTGAATTTCCTTCCCAACTGTGTTTGCTGTCCTTTGTTACTAGGTAATCCCTTTTTACAGAGCATGGCCCTTCAATTTCATCACATATCTGTGCTTCACAGCAACAGAGTGGAATGAATATTTGGTCTGCTGTTATATGCACTAGATTCACAATCTGGTTAACAGACAGTTTGAGCTTACAGTTCATCATTCATACACACATCACTTTTTTTCCAGCTGAGTGACATTATAATATTGCTCAACAGGAAGCCTCTGTGCAAAGAGAAAGCATAAATGTATAAAGCTTAGACTCTATTTGCTTATAAAATTCCAGATAATTTGGAATGTTTTTGTCTTGATTGCTCAGATGACCCATAATATCAAAATTCATAGATGCTTCCAGTGAGGAAATTATCCTGGGCTTCAAAATCTGTCATGCAGTGCTGGATTTTGAGAAGTGCTGAGCACCCATGCCTGAATCTAAAGTTCCTGAGTACACTGAGCATTTCCCCCTGGGAAAGCCTGGCTCTTACAGCCCCTCACCATGCACACCTAACACTCAGAAGAAGCTGTGCGAATGCCTCAAATGGGTACAGGTTCCAACTTTTGACTTTATAAGAGGTTAAGTTATTACTACATTATGGGGATCACTTTTAGGTCCTCCTGATGCCAAAGGGTTCACAGAATGCAGCCAAACTACATGGTGCTTTTCACTGAAAAGAATCCGAAGAGAAGACAGCACCATGCCTATCTTTGAGGTTAAACAGTGGAAAACAAAGCAGTTGTTAGTATGGGACATCAGGGAGGAAAAGTACCAAAGCCAAACAACCAAACCCCAAAATAAACAAAAACACCCTCGCCCCCACAAAACCCACAAACACAATAGAATAGAGCAAATGAGAGTGCCAAAGTGGTGGATGTATAGTTGGAAAAATCATCCATAACCAGTAAGATTTTCCTGGTATTAGAAAAATCCCTGCAGTTCTCATCTGGCTTTATTAAAGCAGAACTTCACTCAAATCATCTAATCAAGTGTCTGTTGCTAAAAGGTGGCCTTAATTGCATGGCTGAAGAAGTAATGTGGGATGCAAGAAAATGACAGAAATGATGCTGAATCAGGAGTGGCTTGTTTTGATTTCTGTGACTAGTTCAATAGGCTTGAGGGTTATGGCACATTTCAACAGGAACATGCTTATACTAAATATTCTGGCTTTAACCACAAGTTCAGGATGGTTATTCTCTTCTCTTTCCTCTTTAAGCACTTTCCCATATTAGTACTGCCCTGTGTAGTGCACGTGTCTGTGCCATGGTGCTGTCAGGTGAACAACGCAGGCATCTGTGATGAAACTTAATCTTCCAGCTCTCATGCAAGGCTGTGTGTTCAGAAGTACTGAGCAGCACCTCTGTCTCATTCCCCTCCTTCCCTTTCAGCCCCGTCACACCACAGTGGTACCTGACTCCCACCCTGGAGGCCAGGTCTCATGCACCCTTCTGTCAGCACAGCTGGTGCTGAGGGTGCTTAGGGTGCTCCCTTCTGACAGGCTGCCCAAGGAGGGTGCTACTGTGGAGCAGCAATGCTCACTTTAAAGCCACATTCAGGGATTAAAGAGGTCTGAGTGCTGATTTGGGATGACCAATGCTTATATAGGATTCCCATGACATGAATTCTTTTTCCAGCATTAAAATGAAAACGTATTAACATAGAACTGCTTAGTTTTTGCCTAGTTCAAGTACTGTGCTTGTGAAGATGCACTTTTCACTACTTCTGTGTTAGATGCATGCGAGTGGCATGCCTCAGTAAATAATACATTGCATTTGAAGTCTTTGGGAGCAGTGCCTCTGCAAAATGTCAGTCATTATCTTGTTCCTTGTGCTTTCGATCAAGAGGTGGATGACTTTTGCATTGGTACCTGCCTGTCCCTCTCAGGAGAGTATGTGTAGGTGTAGTTGTTGGTAAGTTGGAGAGGGGCCTGGCTGTGGATGGGGTTAGGACCAGGGATTCCTTACAATCTGAACTCAGCTGTGATTCCATCACCTGGAAAAAGAAGCTTTCATGAGCTGTTCCTCCTGCATTCTCCCTGCATCTGCTGGGTAGCACTGGACATCATTTTATTTTCCTCTTTTAAGACAAGATTGTCAGCCCCTTGTTTTTCATGTAGCAAAAATTCCATTGTGTTCTATAGCTTTATACATAAGAAAATTGCCAGCATGTGTAAAAGCCACAGATTAGTTATGTAGCAATGCACTTTTACTTACTAGGAAGTTATATTTAAAACAACCCTAACTGTAGGATATTACATAAATATTTTTGGTGGCTCTTATGTAAAAGCAGTATTTCCTCCATAGAAGATCAATTAATCTTCCTGTGGGTATTTCCTGAAGTTTTATTTACAAACTGTATTATAAACATGTTTTTTTAGGCTTCACATACTTCCCCCACTGCCAGTACTATCAGAGGCACAACCACGCAAATACCTCATTTGCGTCTTGCCCACATTTGCATGCTTCCCATGTTTGGAATGCAGATATTTGCACATCTCAGTCTACACTGCTGTCCAATCTGTTAGCTGCCTGGTGCTCATCTTGCTAAATATGCTTGACTAAAACGTTTTGACTGTGAGAAGTATGCCTCTAGCCTACTTTGGCCAAGGGTCTAGGCCACTACCGTAAGGTCGATGTCCTTTAACAAATGTACATGGAGATCCTTTGCCTTTGCTCTGTTGCCTTCTGGCAGTACAGGTAGTGCAATTCCTCCATGCTCCTTTTTGGCTCTTCAAGGAAGCTCGCAGCAATGAAAGAATTTCCTGAACTCTTTAAATCTGAAAGAAAAAAACCCCAAACATCAAAATGTCCTTCAATGGTAACAATAGCGATGGTTAATCGAAACCTTTTAAACAGTCACAACTTGGCTTTGTTTTCATGGCTCTGACTTACTCAGCTTATTGTGGGTAATGCTATTAGGATGAACTGTCACTAGGAGAATTTAGTACAATAGTGATTGGCAATTTTTTAATGAAGGTTGGATCAAGTCTATTATGTTTTGATCAGTGAAAGAAAGAAGATGATAGATACGTGCAGCATGTACATCTTACAGTATAATTGAGTCTCAGCTGCCAGCACATAGATACCTGCACTGTCCTTTCAGTGCTGTCTAAGTGGCATATGGACAGCAAATATATGCAATAGCACAGATGGAAGCTTTAGCATCTAATTCCCACTGATTTCAGAATTTGTTATTTATGCCTTAGAAAACTTATACTCTCCATCTCTAGAGAGGGGTGAGAAATGTTATTGTTTAGTGGCTGTAATTCACACTGAATGCAAGCTGTGTCAGGCACTTCACATGGGTATGCTAGTGGCTGAGGATACTCAGTGCATTTCCATACATCTATGTCATTTGAAATCAAGCAGTTTGATGTGTTTAAATGCATATTCACCTCACACAGCTTTGGTTTACAGTGTTGTAAAGATGGACATCAAACTCAAAGAAAATTTAAAGCTTCCTTCTTTTGTGTTGCAACAGTTTTTCAGTCAGGAGAACACATGCACATCCAACCATCTTATTAAGGAGTTAAGTCCTGCAAGGGTCAGGGAGTTGTACTCAATGATCCTTATGGGTCCCTTCTAGTTTAAGATAGTCTATGATTCTGTGATTGTATAAGAGCCAAATTGAATGATTTAAATTTGACTTAGCCATCCAGGATTTTCTGAAAACCTTATCAAGGAACTAACAAACAGTTGTGATATATGATGGGGATGGTCACCCTTGGTGTTTTACTATTGTGCTTTCTTCACCCACATGAGACGAGAGAGTGATGTGTAGGTGAATGGGTTGGGAACCAGCAGCCATGTCTCTGTGTTGTCAGCCCTTCCGTCACTGGTTGACCCCTATTCTTGTTTAGCTACACCTCATCTGTACTACCATCTTTTTCTGATATTGGGTGGTTCTTTACTAATGAATGGAGCAACTCCATCTGTTTGTAGATCAGTAGGAGTGCCTTTGTTGACTGTGGTGTAGCCATGGCACTGCTATCTCAGCACAGGCTGTGGTGAATTGTGCAGATATGCCAGTTTGCTCCCAGTTAATCTTGATTTTCATAGTGCTCCAAAGTATGGCATTGCTCTAGGTTTCTGGATGTGTCTTCCTGATGGAGCAAGGTATATCAGCTAAAGAAATCCTTGTTTAAGCAGAGATGTTATTCGTCTTTTCAAGTGTTGGACATTACTTTGGAGACAGAGGGAGAAGGTGTTTCTTATTAAGCTATACTGGGGAAAAGTGCCACTCTACAGGTGCTACCTGGATTCAGGCCTATGGTGTTTTTCAGGTGTAAGGTTCCTCTAATTCTGATTTTGTCTTACATTATTTCAAAAGTACAATAGCATCTCTGAGCCTAAAATGTGAGGTGAAATAGCTCATTATTATGTAACTATGAGCATTTCAATAAGCATTACAATCCTGGCCTTTGTTATGAGTATAAGCTTGTAAGGATTTAAAAATAATAGCTACAGAAACTTCTTCTCAGAGTACATTTAGACTCAGACTGTGGCAGAGTCCTAGATATCTAAACAGTTATTAGGGTATTCTGTATGGGAGAGCTCACAATCTACAAGTCACAGACAGTGCTGCTATGTTGTGGTTTGTTCTCTCTGGTTCCTTGGCAGTGCAGTGTCCTTCAGTCATGTAGTTCCTTCCATGTGATTCAGCATCACTGCTGTTGCCTGATGCCAGAGTGCAAAGGCAATATATTTGTACTGTATAATGAACAAAAATAAGAATCTGATGTGCCATAGATTATCAGAAAACTTTTCTGTTTTTAAGTTTCTGAAGGAGCTCATAAGTTCTGCCTAAAGCTTTGTTTCCTCTTCCTGAAGTAGGCAGGCAGATGCCAAGTCACCTGTGTGACTGTGATGTTGGTACTCATTAAGCCAGCTCTCACTGGAAACATTAATGAGCCATTCCTATTGACTGCTATCTATAGGATACTAAACTGCAGAGCCACCACTTTACCTCAGACAAAAAGAGAAACATTGCACACAAAGGTCTGAGCATCCATTCGTCCCAAACAGGACCGTGCTAAGCTTAAAATATTTCCAAGTCTTCTTCTCCCAAAGAAACATTTATAGCTGATAATGATCCAGTGATATTGAAAATCTCAAGGACACATTAAAAAATGTCTCAGCCCAGAGATTTCCAAAAGAGGGCTAGAGTGAACATGTTTTCAAAGTGTGTATCATGAACAGTCCTTGAGAATCTCAGCAATGTATTCACTTATTTAATCGAGACTATGGGCATTTCTAACTTCCACAATTGCAGATTTATTCTGATAAACATCTTCCAGCTTTCTGTTTGTTTTTTTTTTGTTCTGAAAAAAACCACAAGACAACACTAAATAACTAATGTTCTGGGATTGAAACATGAGTTGGCTAGTGCCTCCTTTATTATTATAAAGTTACATTTTTCCCTTCAGATTTATTTTGTTGTGGGGAGCTCAAACCAGAATGTATGAATACAGTGTTGTAAATTGTGAGCCTGTAAAGCACTCCAGTAACTGATCTGATCAGTGCATGAAGCCAACACATCTGAAGGTGTGTGATGCCAATAGCCTCCAGAAGGCCTTTGGAAAGAAAATTCTTATTCACACTGGCATTTTAGTCTGGATCAAGAGTCTACTTTTGACATGAATCTCCCAATGGTCTCTATTTTGCAGTGCCTTGGTCTTTGAGTACAGGAACTGAGTTCCTTCTGGATGAAATTATCTGGAAGATGTGCTCCAGAAATGCACCAGGAGATTACTGCAGCTACAAATGGACCCTCAGCCCTTGGAATCACAGTCGAGGTAACCCAACATAAAGAGCACCTGAAATGCATTTTTTCTGCGCCTCAGATCCTCAGCACCAACTGTTTCACTCTACACATCTTCCCTTGTAGTCCACAATACTTGTCAAGTGACATAGTCACTGAACAACATACTGATTTGGAATTCAGTGAATTTTTTTTGGAGTGGAATTGGCTGAACATTTTTTGATTAACTGTTTCCCAATAAACCTATAGATAAATGTATACATAATCTTAGTATATTGACATTGAATTTGACTATCATAGGATAAAATCCATAGGATACCTTCCTTGTACATATAGACAAGCTAGCATTATACAAATACATGTATGTGCCTCTAGTTATTCAGAGGCACTGTTTATCAGTGCAAATATTGGTAATAAATAGTCCAAAAGCAAAATGTAGTTAAATTATTGGATTAATTATTTTTAAAAGCTGAGAACAACTGTTCTACTTATTTATTTATTTGCATTTATGTGACTAGGAAAAATGCAACATTTTAAAAACATGTATGATATCGTAAAACATGCAGCTGTCTTCTTTTCAGGTATGGATTGGTGAGTTCATGTAAGTGTGTGTTTGCAGTGGCAGAAAAATGTAGCTTACTACCTGTGTTACAATACAGATTTTCCTGTTCACAGAGAAAAGAATGTTACAGCCTGACTATGTGTACTTCATGTTTGTGTTTCAGAGTCAGGTCTAACGTAGATGCCATCTGAAAGATGCTTTGCAGTTACATTTAGGCATTCTAAGATTAATTTTTCCATTTGCTGGATGTCCTGTGTAGCCAACACAAATCTTTCCTGTACTTCCATTAAAATTTAGATCAGGCTTGTAATTCAGTAAACTTTCAAGTCTATCAATAGTTAAAAGAGTGCAGATGGAAATGCATCAAATTCCTGTAATGCAAGGAATACAACAAAAACTTGCCTCAGGACAGATATGTAAGTGGGAGGCTTGACAAGTGTGATAATCCAATAATATCAAAATTCTCTGGTGGGAATTCAGAGGTTGGATATCAGATATTACACATCATGGAAGAAGTTATCAGTAATAGTGAACCAGAAGTCTGTCAGTAAGATGGAAACTAAGAATTGATTTTGTTAGTAAAAGGGATAATATCTCATGTGGAAGAACATTGGAGGACTTGAGCCAACTCTGGAATCTCTTATGTATGGAAAAAATAGAAATTTAGATTAAAAAATAAAATTGTCTGGGTGCTAAGCAGCATGGATGTTCAGCTTTCCAGACCTCTAAAAACTGCAGGAATTCTGCCGTATCTGGACCCCTAGCTAACAGTATAACTGAGCCTGCAAAATACAGTAAAAATGGATTGATTCCTGAAACTTCCTGATTAGACATTGACGACCATGGAAGCAAAATTCAGGCTTCTTGTAATTTTAAATTTTAAGTTAAAAGTTTATCTCAGTAATTCTAGGTCAGCCTGTAATCTAGGAAAAATTAACCCCAAACCACATTTAAAACAGCAGTTGTTCAGAGAATAGCATGTTAAATGTTCAGGATCGATTTGTGAAATATGCTCATTTTTTCCAATTAGAAACACATATACATGTTGGATTTTTTTTTAATGACAATTATTTCAGGAGATTTTCAGTGCTAAAGCCACGGTATAGTGTATTTTAGCAGACCTCTTTTCAGCTGTAATAAACATATTTCCCAGGGAACTGACAGACTATTGCAAAGTAGAAAACATTTTGGTTCATTAAAGGAAAAAGGAAAAATTGTGTTTTGCCAGAAAGCTATAACAGGCAACAGTGAATGGATATCAAATACTTCTAATGGAACCATTTATCTTTACAAGTTTCGTTCTTACCTGTCTTGTGAGACAGTTGGACGAGAAGGAACTTGGGGTGGAGTTAGTACCTCACTTGATTCAAAGGTTGTTGATAGGATTTCAGGTCCCTCATTTTCTCTATAGTGTCAGGACAGGTCATGCAGTAGCATTATGGTTTTTGATGTTTGAACTTTCAGGGGAAAATACAGGATAAAATACCTGCACAATGGTTACTTTTACTACTGCTAATGATTATTTGTACCAGGTTACAAAATAAAACAAAACAAAACATGGATTAAAGAGGTGTGATACTGTTGCTTTGTTACTGATGAACAGAGGCTAGAAATAAGCTTTCAAGTAATAGGAGGTGAAAGTTTGCACTTGCATTCAGAAAGTCTCACTTGTGGAAGTCTCACGTGGTGAATTCAGATTCACTGTAAAGTTCTTATCCTCTGAAAAGGATAATATTAAACCCACGATACTTTTAACAGAAAAGACCTTTTTTCCTTAATTGCCATGACTTTTGTCTCTGCTTCTATGCTGAGGGAAAATGCTTTAGTCCTCCTTTTGCTTGAATGAAACTGTGTCTCAGCACTAGTTGATTATGAAGACAGGCTGAGGAAGTTGGGGCTGTTCAGCTTGGAGAAGAGAAGACTGTGTGGAGACCTCATAGCAACTTTTCAATATCTGAAGGGGCCTACAAGGGAGCCATAGAGGGACTCTTTGTTAGGAACTGCAATGCTCTGTTGTGCAAAAGAAAAGCACCAAGACTTTTACTTTCTACCCAGTGAAGCTCCGGTTCACAGTGACAAAGAGTATTCTCTCAAAATCACCTTCTTAGATGAAGTAGACAAAGCATTACTGCTTTCTCCCTCATCTATCAAGAGGCAGCAAAGCATTCCCTTGTATCTTTGCCTGCTTCTTCTGGGAGAATCCTAAGAAAGTTTTCAGGAGCCCCCTTGCTCTATGACAAGTGCAGTAGGAATGTGTAATAATGTTTAGTGTAAGTTCACAGATACAAACGAAAGCACTGAATCCACTATACCCTCCACAAGCTGTGAAAAAGCCCCTTTTAATTAAAAACCAAACACTCAGAACATGGAGAAGGCTGAGAGGCATTTATTTTACCTCCTTAACATTTTGAGTTGTACCTCTAAGCCATTTCTGCATTGTTCTGCACTTAATGGTCTGCTGGCTTTGGGATATGGATCTTACAATGGCAAGAGGAGTCTGAGGAGAGTCTCAAGGAGAAAGGAGCAATATATATTCATCTTGCTGGGACATGTTTGCTATCCTAACTTTGGCAAAGCTTTGACAAAAAGGATATTTTGATCAAGCCTTCTTCTTCTCTGGCATATGTCAGTGAAATGCAAAAGATTTTGCTTTGCCTTATTAAAATAGGAAACTAACTCAAAAATATTTGAAGTATGTTATTCCTATAGGATGCCTGGGGGTTTGGGCCATATGTTTTTGAAGAAAAGAAGCTGATGTAGCATATTCAAGTAAAAAACCATGAAATTAATTCTATCATGCTGGCAGTTTTTAAAGTGTTGGGTGGTCTGCTCTGGTATCTACATGAGCACTATGGGAATCTTATACTGATGACTCAGATTCAAGTACAACTGGCTTGCAAAGATAAAAATGTTCTGAGTAGTTGATACACAATGTGCAAGTGGGCAGGAAACAGAAGCCAGACTTTCCTTCCAGCAGGACTGCTGTGGTTCTATATTGCAATGCAGTTCTGAGTCCACACTATTCAGACCATAGTGGATTTTCCTCTCTATCCAGTTTTATTAACCTTTCTCAGAAATATATTTCTGGCTGCCAGAATTACAGGTGGAGCCTGTGACTAGTAGTTTTTTTTACCCCTGACTGTTGCACATATGGGGTGGTGCCACAATTCATAGCTTCTCTTTTCAACTCCATGACAGCAGCTGCCCACTGAGGCAGGGATCTATGCCATCAGTCTCCTGGCATTTCAACCATCATCTATAGCACCAGATTGTGATTTCACTGCATTCAGCTTCAAATCCACAATGTACTTACAGGCATACATCCATCTTCAGTCTTACCCAGCATACCAACACCAGCCCCACTGATAGGCAATAGTCCATAACCCCCTCATCAAAAGGATTCTGAACATATACCTCCCATGTCCCTGCAGCTGCAGTAGTCCAAAGACCCCATGCAAATCCTTAAACTTGCCCTTAGCTCCAGAAAAACGGTTCATTACACAGCACTTCCAGTCATCTGCTTGGGGACCTCAAGTTCGTAACTGTTGACACCTCCCTTTAGCAGCAGGATCCAGACCAAGGGTCAAGGCAACCCTATAAACAGTGCTTTCTGGACACAGGCCAATGCATGCAGAAGGACACACACTGTCCAGTTCTGTTCCCTGACAAACTGGCCCAATCCCCTGGCAGAAGAAGCCACAGGATTATAGCTCAGTGACAAAAGGCCCAAATCCTTATTGATCCAGAGGAAATCACCCACAAAGGAAATCACAAGTTTCCAGGATGATATCTGTTCAAAGCAGAAACCACAATCATGCACATTTCAGCCATAGAGCTTTCAGAAATCCGTGGTCAAGAGAATTAATTATCTCCCTATGAGGTTTTGATGAGGAAAGGCTTCCAGTGGAAGAAGACAGGAAGGTATAGGAAAATGATATATTATTATTCTGAGAAATCATACCTAAGTAAAAATTGATGTCTAAATGTAACAACCTTTTGAATATTGTGTTTACAGAACCCTGAAGAGATATTCCAAATTCCCAATCAGGAGACAATATCTGGGGAGTAGCCCCTCTGTTCTCCAGCTTTACTGTCTGTCTTTTTGGAAGAAAAAGTTAATAGGAAACTGTGCAGGGCAGAACTCTGAACTAAGCCTACCTTTTCGTTCAGTCCGGTGCACTGTGACTATGTTTTGGCCTGTGTTCTGGTAGTATTTGACATCGCAGTGAGAGGGTGTTGGAGATCTTTTGGAGTAATACACAGAATGAGGCACCTGGTGATGTCAGCAGGTGGTTACCTAATGCACAAGGGAGGAGGATAGAACACGCTTGGGAGATAGAATCCAAGATAAATGTAGGTGATGTGAAGTTTTACCTCTCCTGAATAAGCAGTAAATGCTGCTAAAGTCAAGCCAAAAGCCAGCTTGTAGCAGAAATTTTGGGAAGAATTGAGTGAAGTCATGTGGGTGTCAGTTCAGCTCTTGGAAACTTGGCTGAGCCTAGTACATTTCAAATAAGATAGGCAGCACAACAGCAAGACACGTGTGAAGTGCCAGTTTTTATTCCCGTTCTTGAAGATACCAATATTCTTTGCTTAGGTCTTGTGTGAGATTTTCACACCATCCTTCAAAACAGTTGGACCTGGCCACTGGTAGAGTTCGGATTCTGGTTAGTTGGCCTGCTGGATGTTTCTGCCTTCCTATGTTTGACAGGGATGGTGATAGATTTTGATCTGGTTTATTTCCTTCTGCTGACCTTTTCTTTTCTCTCAATGTGGTTTTTATTTGTGTTGAATTGTCATCAAAATAAATGTGTTTGAAAAGAGTAATTTTGATCTGTTGGTTTTTTCACCAGTCAGTGCAAAATTAGCTGGAGGTCCTACTTTTCTTGGAAAAGCAGTATGAGAAAAGCTGGAAACATGTCTTTTGGCAAGCAATAATACATAAATAGCTTTTCTGAATACCTATTAAATGCACTGTTGTGTTATTAATATCCAGTAGAGCCAATAATTGGTTTATTATGATTTTGGACCATTGGTTTGTTTTTAACATGGATGGTTTGGCCATCACATTAAAGTGAACTACACTGTAATGTTTGTGCCATGTGAAAGTGATATAGCTGTATCAGTGGTTTCCAGAGTTCACAAGTTTAATATATTCTGAAAAAAAACCATTTTCGGTGGCTTTTTTCATGCTTCATCTTAGTCTGAAGCTAAATATATGGAAAGGCTCAGCAGAATATTTTCCTTCATTTCATTAATTACTCAGCTGTTGAAAAATTCTGTTATTTCCTTCCAGAAAAGTACTATGGAAGATTTAGAGTTGTGGTTTTAAGACATGATGGGAATGTCCTGCCTTAATTGTTATTATAGAGGGTGTGCTGACTGGAGGAAAAAGGCTTAGGACATCACTTCAACACTCTAAATCTTCACACAAAAGAGGTCACCCCACATGTAAATCTATCAGTACCTCAGTTGTATGTATTGCAGCCACCAGTATCTCCAGGTTACTGAATTTCTTTGGGAAACAGCTAACTGAGAGGATGAAGGTCCCTGAGACATCTCTGTATAGCTCCCTTACCAGGCTGAAGTGAGTGTTCAGTGCTGAAGTGACAGTGGGGTCAGAGAAAGAGTGATATCACAAAAAGAGTGATATCACAAAATAACAGAATCACAGAATGATTGAGCTGGGAGGAGACCTCTGGAGATCACCTGGTCCAACACCTGCTCAGAGAGGGCCACCTAAAGCAGGCTGCCTAGGACCATATTTCCAAGCTTTTCTGGGCAACCTTGACAGTGCTCAGTCACCCTCACAGTATAAAGTGCTTCCTGATGTTCAGATGGACACGCCTGTCTTTCAGTTGGTGCTCATTGCCTCTGGTCCTGTCACTGGGCACAAATGAAAAGAACTCAGCTCCATCTGCTTTGCAGCCTCCCTTCAGGTATTTGTACACATTGATGAGATCCCCCCTGAGCCCTTTCTGCTCTAGAGTGTACAGTCCCTGCTCTCTCAACCTTTCATTACATGAAAGATGTTCTAGAACCTTCGTCATCTTAGCGGCCTTCACTGGACTGTCTCCAGTATCTCCATCTCTCCCTTGTTATGGGGAGCCCTGAACAGGACACAGTACTCCAGATACAGCCTCAGCAGCACTGATTAGATGGGAAGGATCACTTCCCTCAACCTGTGTCCCATTATGAATTAGAAGTGGGAAGGGTTACGGTGATTCCCGTGGCAAATGATGACACAAATGAGGTAAGTGTCACTTTAAGCACTATGTTTATTAACAACAGGAGATAACCAATCGTAATAAGCAACAGGATAGGGGTAGTTTAGAAAGAGAAAGCGGGAAAAGATAAGCAGAAGTACAGAGAGTTTGCAATAGGAAAGTTACCACCATGGAGTCCTGCAGCATTCTACGGGTCCAGTCATTGCGCGGTGGGCAAAATTTTCGCTTTTAGTGAAAAATTGGTGGTCTGGGAGGAGAAGAGTCCAGTAAAAAATTGGTCCACTTGCTACTTATTATTTTTGTCCTGCCCCATTTCTAGAATTTTCCACCCCTTTCTTCCAATCAGCCCTGGTGATTTTGACATGCTCATTAATACCACAGCATAGTCCTGCCTTCTGGTTATGTAACCACATGTGTGCAGGGTGGAGTTTTCAAGAGGAGGATCTCACTAGGCATCCACTGAGCACCTTCACTGCTGTATCTATGTTGACCTTATCTCTGGTGCATGTGTCCTTGCTGTGGTGGCTGTGCAGCAAAACCACAAGCAGCCCATGTGGCAAAAAAAGTCAAATGCCTGCGACAGGTAAGTCTCCCCTTTTTGAGCCTCATGATTTACACAAAGAAACAATGTTGAGACATTTTTGGAGTTTGGATAGAGTCTCACAACCTGCTGATCACTACTCATGCAGCCCAGGGTACCATTGGCCTTCCTTATAGTGAAGGCATGTTGTTGGCTCCTGTCCAACTTGGTGTCCACCATAGAATCACAGAATTATCAAGGTTGGAAGAGACCTTTAAGATCATCAAGTCCAACTGTCATGCAGCACACCCAGGCCCTTTTCTGAAAAGCTGCTTTCCAGCCAGTCAGCCCCCAGCATGTACTGGTACCTCGGGTTGTTCCTCCCCACATCTAAGACTTTTCATTTACCTTCATTGAACTGCATGAAGTTCCTGTTAACCCATTTCTCCAGCCTTCTCAGATCCCTTTGGTTGTCATCATGACACTCTGGTGTATCAGGCACCCCTCCCAGTTTTCTGTCATCAGCAAACTTGCTGGGGTTGCACTCTGCTCCATCATCCAGATCATCAATGAAGACATTGGATTGTCTACAATATTGGTTCCTGGGGTACATTGCCCATTACTGGCCTCCAACTAGACTTTGTACCACCGAGCATCACCCTCTGGGCCCAGCCATTCAGCCTGTTTTCAGTCTTCTCATCAAGACCACAATTCCTCAGCTCCTCTATGAGGATTTGTGGGGCACAGTGTAAAAAGCATAACTTAAGTCAAAGTATACGATGTTCATTGCTCTCACCATGTCTACAAAGTAGTCATATCATTGCAGAATATCATTAGGTTGGTCAGCCATTACTTCCCCTTGGTGAATCCTTGCTGACTGCTCCCAGTCACCTTGTTCTTCATGTGCCTGGAAGTAATTTCCAGGATGAGTTGTTGCTGAGGTGTGGCTGACCAGGTGTTTCTTCCTGCCTTTTTTGAAGACACAAATGACATTTGCTTTCTTCCAGTCCTTGGACACCTCTTCCAGTTGCCATGATTGTTCAAGGTTTGGAGTGGCCTCAAATTTTATCAGACAGCTCCTTCAGCACTCATTCCATCAGAGTCCATAGACTTGTGTAGGTGTGTTTTAAAGGCTTTTCAAAGACTTCTAAGTGAAACACTCTTGTGCTTTTGGTCCCATCTCGTGTAAAGAAGAAGATAGAGAATAAGCTTGTCACAACCACTTCTACTTCTGAAATATTGTGGAAGTCAGGAGGCAAAAGCAGAAATGAGATGGTATTAAGAAGTGTGATCATTTAAGAATTCTTCCCAGGCTCTTCAGGAGACCTAAGAAAAGGTGACCTCAACCCAGTCCTAAAAATGACAATTATAAGCCTGGCAGCTTTACTACTCAAGCTATCTACTGAAGCATAATAAACATGTTCTTCAGTGAGTTCTCCATGTAGTCCTTCCATTTCTATGTTTTTTCTTGAGAGCTTGCCCAGTTTTCCTCTTACCCACTGCCCTGTTGATTTCTTGTTCCCACAATCCCTCAGTCAAGACCTGTCAAAGATGTTCCCAATTATGTAGCAGGTATGTGGAAAGTAGGATAAAGACAACTATCCCTTTTGCTGAGAGGGAGGAGGAGCTGTACAACAAGCACTCTTTGAATTCAAAGCATAATCCCTCTTCTTAAGCAAAATATCCTGCTTCAAGGGAATAAAATCACTTGATGGCTCTGACAGACAGATGAAATAGTAATTTTTTTTAGCTGTGGTAGATATATGATCTCAGGTCAGGGGTGTTATAATCTTCCCATTGTCTAATGTAGTTATTAAAGGCAGTTATTAAACCTATAACCCCCTCCATGCTGAAACTGAATATACTTTGGGTGCTGAAATGCAACATAGCCAGTGGCAACAGAAAATAGAAACCTAATTTCTAAGTGAATGAAGCTATGTTACCTACATGGTAGTGGGCTGAGGAAAGGTGAGGCCAGTTCAGCTAAATAGGGAGAAAAATAATTAATCTAATTTATATTTTTCCCCTACTTGTGGTGGAGAAAATAGAGGGATATGAGCATTTCAGTGAAGAGAACTAAGATCTTCCCTGGACTTCTCACTGATTTTAATAGCCATGATGTTGTGAGAACTACACATGCATTCAGATCCAAAAAGAGCCAAAGCAAGCTGTTTTTTGAAGTGAGAAATGATACATATTCTTATCCTTAAACGGGTGTTAAAAGGCAAAATTTACAAAGCATTGATCGACAGCTTACTTCACACAGCAAGAAATGCTCTCTTCAGGCTTCAGTCTGATTTTTTTAGTAGTTGGTTGTTGGTTTTTTATTTATTTTAAATGTACTTTTTCTAGGAATAGCAAGAAAGACAGAAAGTTGAGATGACCAGACTTGTTAAGGTTGAAAGTTCATGAGTTAGATTTTATAAAGCTAACTGTGCAGTTTGCATTTTCCTAACTCCTCCAGGAGCTTTTTATGGCAGTTTACAGCCCAGGTTCTGTGAGGGAATACGCGATTCTCCCAAAAATCAAGCTTTACAAGGAGTGTTCTTTCTGCCCTCTCGTGGCCACGGGTCAGTTTTGCAACAACGAGAATACCAGAGTTGCATTGCGTTTCGATAATCCCGAACGTCTTGTTTTTTCTTTAGAGACCAGACATAAAGCTTAGTATCTCTGAGTCAGTTATTTTCTGCATAAAATATGTTTATGTATATTTGAGTATGAGTTGACTATTTAGATTATCAAATTAATTAAATATAATTACACCAAGAATAAATTATTCACTGTCAGGATAATACTAACAAATGGGAAATTTTTCTGTTGCACGTTGGAAAACTGGGGAAAGACCCCTTTACTTTATACATTGCCTGCACAGCTTTTCCTATGTGTTCCTTTTCACAGTCAGCCCATTACTGTATCCCCATCTCTGTGATTTCTGGGGTAACTAGGAAAATCACTGCTGCACATGTTGTGCCAGTGCCAAACTGTGCACCATCTGCACTTAGCAGCAGAGGGAAATAAGATCCAGAAAGAAATTATCACTAGTTATACATTTGAGAAGGGGGTGGGCTCTGCAATCCTCTAGGCTACCCCTGAGGATTCATAAAATCATATGCAGTATAAATGTGTGCAAGAATACATTTGTTAGGAAATGTCTTGAAATACGGAACTGCTAGAAGCATGTGGTGGTGGCTGAGCTGGCACAGGAAGTACCTTCTGACAACTGTCTGCTCTTTTCCCCTGCCCTGCTCTTTCTAGACTGACACATCAAGAGCCATTCAGAATCACCTGTGTTCACATTTCTCTAAAGATTCCATAAGCCGTATGTGATGCCAGTATAACGACACTATAGGTACCCTGGAGTACCTCCACTGGTATTTAATTTCCTCACAGGAATCTAAATTAAACTTCTGACTTTTCTTTTATGGCTGCCAAAAGAAATCAGCTGCTGAATTAGGCTGTACCATTTCATTGGAAATGCCTCTCAAGGGAGGGGCAAACCTGCAGCTCTCAGAATTGATGATGATCTCTAAAGGCAAACAGGTACTTAGTCAAAGTGGTAACCACACTCAAAGACAAGCTTGGCACTCAACATATGTTTTTAGGTTTTCCTTGAGCCTCTCCCTTCAGCAGCAGAATTCAAAGAAAGTTTGTCTCTGTTTTTTTACAAATAAATTTCTTCATATTGGTCATATAGTTAATTCCAAACATTTTATTACCCCTAGATGTAGATGTATTTTATGTACCCACAGAGTTAAGCAACTGATTTAAAAAAGTTCCTCTCTGTTCTACTTCACTAAGTCATCCAAATAGGAAGTGCTCCAGGTGCCAGAGCAGAGATTCTCCTACAGCCCATGGTGAAGACCATGGTAAGGCAGGCTGTCCCCCTGCAGCCCATGGAGGTTAACAATGGAGCAGAGATCCATTTGCAGCCCACAAAGGACCCCAAGCCAGAGCAGGTGGATACCCAAAGGAGACTGTGACCCATGTGGGAAGCCTGTGCTGGAGCAGGATCCTGGCAAGGACCTTTTGCCCCATGGAGTCCATGCTGGAGCAGGTTGGCTGGCAGGACATGTGACCTCGTAGGGGACCCATGCTGGACCAGTCTGTTCCTAAAGGACTGCACCCCATGAAAGGGACCCACACTGGGACCATTTGTGAAGATCTGCAGCCTGTGGGAAGAATTCATACTGGAGAAGTACATGGAGGACTATCTCCCATGAGCGAGACCCCACACTGGAGCAGAGGAGGAGTGTGAGGAGTCCTACCCCTGAGGAGGAAGTAATGGCAGAGACAACATGTGATTAACTGACCACAGCCTCTATTCCCCATCCCCTGTGCTGCTGGGGAAGAGGAGGTAGAGAATCTGAGAGTGATCTCCCTGTGCTTATCTTCATCCGTAGCTTTTTTTAATATTTTTTTCTTACCTGTCTGACTGAAGAGGGAAGTGATAGAGTGACTTTGGTAGGCACCTTGTGTGCCCACCCTGAGTCAACTCACTACAAGCATCACCACAAATTGTAATTCTATTTGTTTTCAACTGAAAAATTTAGTACAAAGCTCCTCAGAGATATAAGAGGCACTTTGAACATCAGCGGTGTAAACTAGTTTAATGTTTTCATTTATGTGAGCTAGGGTGGCTTTAGGAACTCAGGATTGAAACCAAAGCATAGTTTTGAGTTAGAATACTCTTAATAGTTGCCTCTGGTTTTGAATCACTTTTCATCTATCACTTGTTGCCAATATATGCACAAATGTGGTATTTGCAAAGACAGATACATGACTTAGTGTGCCCTACAATATATGTATTGCATTGTTACACATTTGTGCATCTGTGCTATGGTATGCAGCATGGGGAGTTTAGCTCTCGTTTCTATTATTTAGACATTCAGTTCATTGTGGCTGAGGTATCAAATATCTGTGAGGAGAAAGAAGAATAAATGTTTTGCAGTAGGTAAAATGTGAAGCTGCAATTGAAAGGACTGAAAGTATACTTCATTTGGTTATTGGCTATCATTAGCTCTCTATATAAGATCAACCTTCTGGGTCCATTTGAATTTCAGAAATTCTGAGAGAAGTTAAAGAGGGAAGTTTCTGGTACAAGTTTTGCTTTCAACTTTGTTGAACTATAAACTGACTTTTATGGTTCTGTTTGTTTTCTGGCTTGTGCCAGGACTTTCCAATGTGCTGTAAGAGAGAAAGTAGCTGGACATCATTCTGTATGGTAATTGATAGGTGTTCCAGAAATCGTTATGCGCATCAGAGATAATATAAATATACTGAGTGCAAACACTTCAAAACCAGAACAGGTGTCCTAAATATGACAAAATAAGGGTAAATAGCTAAGTAGTCAGCAAGTTCCAGAAGATGGGAACAGTTATAGGCTTCTACCTACCTGCACCATTACTGTGATTGACTAGGAAACCTTCTGCTGTTGCAAGTGACCTACACTTGGTGAGAACTTCGGATCAAAGTTATAAAAGTATATATGGAAATAGACATAAAGATTCCTTTTTGAAGTAACAGTTTTGTCTTAGCCTTGCATCTCCCTAGCTTGAAGAATCATAGGATCACCAAAAAAAATAATTTGGGTCACCAAAAAAAATGTTTGGGTCATCAAAAAAAGGTTTGGATTGAAAGGGTCCTCTTGAGGTCATGTGGTCCAACCTACTGTTGAAAGCAGGGTCTTAACAGAAATAACTATCTACTGAGGTGCTGCTGTGTGAGACAAAGAAGTAGTTGGTTGCCTCTGAAAATCTGAGATGTAGCAAAATGTATTTTCCTGTGCAAGATTTTTCTGACCTATGTCTGTCTTAATCACCTGACTCCTTTTCTAGGAGCTGAAAAAACCAGAAACATCTTTCTGGTTTTCCTTTCCCTTTATGCACTATCAGCAGGTTGGAGAATCATCATGAAGGAATGGAATGATCTTGAATAGCATTTAATACCTTCTGCTTTTTTAAAAAACCCCTTATAACCATACACTTTTCTTACATTACTAGTACAATGGTAGTCTAAAAAGGTATCTGAGTTTTCTGAAAGCCTATCTAGGATATTTCTTCTACCAGTTAACTCTAGGGCTTCAAGTGGATAATCTGGATGAGAACTGTAAGGGAAACTCATTTTTTGATGTTTTTCACCAAAATTTTAATTGTATACAGTTCTGAGTAAGGCCATAGGACTGACCTTCTGGCTAATCACTGCTTAGAATCCATGTGCATAGATATGAAAAGGAGAAAAAAATTGCTTTACACTATGCATTTTTCTTGAGATAAAATACACGTAAGGATACCTTAAGCCTCTCTTTTCTTTCCTAATGGCAAAGATTTTTCTCATTCATATTATGAGCTATGAAAGATCTGAGTGGCACTAACAAATCATATATCTATGGTTGTCCATGCACCTGTGCTAGATACACTTTAGTGGGTGTCAGTAATGAAAACATTTCCAGTTCCTGCTAATGGGTGCTCTTAAACTTGGGGCAATTTTTAAAATGTCTTGATTAGTGTTTGGAAACTTCTAGTGGTCTGTGATGACTAAGACTAGCCCAGGTGTCATATTTTGAAGAAAATGTTAAAAGGCAATTGCAAAAACAGTTGAAGTGAATCTGAGACTGACAGATTCCAAATGCCAGATTCCCTAGCCTGGCTCCTTCTGAGGGTAAACCAAAAGTGTCACTTTACATTCCACTAAATCTGTCCAAATGATATCTTGAAATCAACCACATGGTGAGCCCTTGGACTTATAAATTAATCAGTCTGTCAGATTGTCAACTGTCCTCTCTATAAACTTAAGTCAGAATCTATAATAAACCTGGTGTTTTTGCATGGAGACTTCAATAACAGGCATAAATATTACTGGTGAGGCAAGGAAAGCTGGGAGCTCCTGAACCCTACTGGAATTCATGCCAGTAAGCCTCAATAGTCTGTCAGTTGATTTACTTGAGTCCTTTCCTTGCTTTTTCCCAGTTCATGAATAATATCTGTATATGGATAATAAATAATCCAGTGAGTGATAGCTAGAGCAATGTATGTTGCCTGTTGTGCCCCTTCGCCTCCTGTTGCACTATCCAGTGATTGTTTTCTTGGCTCACATGCTCTCAAACCAAACAGAAATTTTGCACAGCATAGCATAATTCCTCCTTTATGTACTTTTCACCTAGCTCTTCCTCTGCTGAGGGAAAATAAATCAACATCCATCTCCTGTATCCATGCTATGAAGCTTGCAATAAGAGGACAACCTAATTGTACTTGTTGCTGGGCCAGTGTTTGGGCTTCTGCTTTCCTCCCACAGCAGCCATCATTAATGCCAATTGATGTGTATCTTTCCCTGTTGCTAGGAGATATGTACCTTAAAAAGGCAGCTTCTATTGCTGTTCAGGGATTCTCACAAATCTTGTTTGCTCTTGGTTCACATGATGTGCAGTGAGGTTTGCAGGACCAGAAACACAACTCATAGTTCAGGGCATTTCCTTCTGCTGTTCATTTGACTGTAAATCACTTAAAGATCCCAGTTTTCCTGACTGAAAAATGATGGCCTGTTCTGGTGGCAGGCAGTGACAAGACATCTACTTCATAGCCTGGATCTTGGACTTTCCACACACACGATTTGTTGACCAGTGTCCTTCAGCATGGACTTGGCTGCTGTACCCAAGTGTTATACTGCAAAACTGGTCTTTCACTAGTGTTTGTTAGGTAAAGTGTTTTTGGAGGCACAGAGAGAAGCCCAAGGGTTGGTTTAGGACTCTTTCTTTCAAAGGGTACAATCTCATTTTTCAAAAATCTGTATAGATTTCCCTATCTTTTTGATATTTCAAGTATCAGTGAGCAGATAGATATTCTCAGGACTATGGTCTAACTCCTTTGGATTGAACTAGATTCACCAGCCACAAGCTGAAGAGTGTTGTGTTTCAAGTAGCCTCATTCACTTTGTAGAGGAATGGCAACTCAGGCTGTGTCCCAACTATGAATTTATCTGATCAATTGGATTAGGTTTTTTTTCCAGGTTCCTCTAAAGATATGTGGGATATAAGGATATCTAGTTACTGGTTATTCAGCAAAAAAACTAAGACAAAAGACAGTAGAAGTAATAAATTAAACTCTCAATACCCAATCCTTAAGGAAGAAGAGATAACAAGACAATAAAAAAGACCAGAACTCTTAGATCACTGCTTGATAGGACTCTAGAGGAACCACTCAATGCCTTAAGAAAGCTCAGCCATAGCTCTGTATCTGGCATCATGGATCTCATGGGAAAGAGCAAAACAATGGGATACTTGAGAGGGCTCCTAGGATCATATAAGACTGATTATGGGATGTTTGAAGGGATATGGGAGAGGGCTAAACTTGTTTCGGGATATTCAGGGGAGTGCCAAAGACAGTCCAAGAGAGGGACCAAGACAGATGGGGAGAGAACAAGCAGGGGAAGATGAAGAAAAGGAGGAGTGAAAGAGGTTAGCTGCATGCAGTCAAGCTGCTGTCGGTAATTTTAGTCAGGCTGTACCTTCTGCCTGATCATCAGTGCGTCTCATCTTCTTGTTAAACTCAATAATGGAGTGTTTTCCTATATGAGTGTGCATGGACACTGTGGGCTTGTGTATGTGTATGATGTGCCAGCAAATTTCAAGCCAGGCTAGCTGGTGACTAGAGTGGTCAGATAGCAGCAACTGGAGATAGAGACCGAGAGTTGAAGGGACTTGCAGGTCTGAGGGCTAGGAACTGGGAAAATACTGTCTGGATATGAGCTATTGAACAGACTGAACATTGAACAGCTGCTGCTGAAAGGATCATTTGTGTTTGTGATTCTAATATCAATTTAAAGCTGGACTAGCTGGTGAACAGGAGAAGAGGTGTAGGAACCAGCTACCAGAGAGACAGATCATAGATCAGAACAGTGAAGGAACCAAAGGTGTGAGAGCCAGTTGCTGGGGAGACCACAGGTCTGGAACAGCTATTGGAGGGACCTGTTTGCATGAGCTTGTGTGAAAGATCTGCTAGCAAGCTCCCAGTTTGATTAGCCTGTGAGCGAGAAGAGGATCAGCCTGTTTGTATCTTTATGTCTGTCTTGTTGGTGTGTATGTGGAGACTGTAAAAGTGCTGCTGGCTTCTCTGTTGTTAATCAGCTGTGGCTGTGTAGTGTGTATATGTATGCACGGTGTGTTTTTTTGGGATGCTTAGCCCCACCACTGGCCAGACAAGGTGTCAAGGTAATGCAGTATCTGAGGGCCAGAAGAAAGAATCTCTTAGGTCCTGTAGTCCACCAGATTTGGTTTCTGTGTAACTGATGCAAATCCAGCTTCTCTTCAAAGCTTGCTGAAATCTTAGTTTTGGAGGAAACCTAAGCACACAATATTCCACTTAGAAGGAAATTGTGTTCATAAGAAATATGAAATGGAAATATGGACTTAAAATGGACTAGCCCTTCTCTGTGTGTATCTGGTAGCTATAGCATGATTCAGGGACACCCACAGGGCAGATCCTGTAGGACATCAAGGAGGTCATTATCTCAGATACAAACCCCAAGATAATTACATTACAGTATGACTTTGGTTAGATGTTATTCCTCTGTGGGGATCCAAGTTTTATTTGTGGCAAATTCCTGACAAGTGTCCTTTCAGATTTATATTTAACATGATGCATAAACAACAGAAAAAGTGCTTTCTCAACATTTTACTTGGTTTTCTCTAGCTGCATATGACACAAAAGGTACCAATGGTTTTGATCCTGCTTCTGTTTGTTTTTCACATATAGGCTTTTTATTTGAATGATGCATCTTTATTCATATTATGTTTCTTTTAATTTTGCTTAAAATGCTTTCAGTTATATAGCCACTGTTCTGAAATTAGGTTTTACAACCAAGAGGACATAAAATGCACAGAAGTAAATAGAATTTATATTACACTGCCACTGAAGTAAACTGCTACAACAGTCACCACAATTATTGTTGCCTTATATGTCAAGGGTTTGTGCAGAATAAATGCATTATTCATAACATGAAGACAGCTTTGCATTTCGGTTCACATATGGTTCGTTTTCATGACCTTTAGTTTTGAAAACACATTGCAGCTTTTCCAAGTCTTTCAGGTTCTGTCTTCATAATTTCATTCCAATATTGACGTAACTGTTAGAATTCATATCCCTAAAAATACCAGAAAAATAAAACAAAATCTGTTATAATTAGGTGAGACGCTGGGAAAGGAATGAAAGGAATCAAACCGAATAAGAAAGAATTTTGGCTTCTGATGTATCAGTTGTCTTTCCTGGCCTGAAGTTCTATGTTATGCATGTGTCAGATGCAAGTCATGGGTAGCCAACTGAAACTTGGTTACAAGACAAATGGGCAGTTCCAGTGAAGCAGCAGTTATGAAAAGAAGTACTATGATTGAAGAACTGGTTTAAATTATTCTTAGTAATGGGCAGGAAATAGTTTTCCTACGGTGAAAAAAAATTCTGAATGTCAAAAAAAAGCTTAAATCTTAACTTGGAATGAAAAATCAAAATCTCAGACATTGTCTCAGTAAGACAATGTGAAAAAAAAATAAACTCAGATGAGAAAAAGACATTTTCAAAATGCTGCTATTCAGCTTGGAATTTTTTATTTTTGTTTCTTTTTTTCTCTATAATTTGCATAAAGTTAGGAAGTGGAAGAGTAATTTTTAGGTAATTTTGTAATTTCACAATGCTGAAATGGGATATTTTAATGATTCTGAACCTTTTTCACCGAAGCTATTACTTTTTAAAATGAAACCTGATCTAATACAGCATTAGAGCTAATCTTGTCATATGATCATTTTCAGCTTTGGCTACTTGGCATCTTCTCATTAGAAAAGACTTTGTAAAGAGGTTGTCTGGTCAATCTTTTGATGAGACTTTTGGATTTGATGAGCTGCAAATCTTTCCTTTGGAAAATTGAACTCATATTGAAATGCTTAGTAATATGCTTTGAGCAATTCTAGTTGTATTTGATCACTGGTAACCTATCATTTAATATGCATTTCAATATATGGTTTGAACACTTTTGTAGTATTACCTGATTCAGATTCCTGAACATTTTGAGGCAGATTGACAGCCAGTGACTTCCCAAATCTCTGTGGCAAATTTAGAAGTGATTGTCTGGAACCTTTAACAAGTGGAGATCTCACAAGCCTCTCTGATACCTTGGGAACATGCTTAGGTATGTTCTCTCCAAAAGCTCTTCCAAATCTCAGGGGCAAATTAGCAAATGGTTTAATGCTTCTTTCTTCTGGATAATTTCTTCCAAATCTAAGAGGTAAATTAGCAACTGAATTTGGCATCTTGTTTACTGTAAAAGGGTTCATTTTAATGATATTTTTTGATCCCCAGTCTTCCATTTCTTCAAAATTGAGGCTCCTCTTCTTTTCTTCCAAAATATTATCTTTAATCTAAAGAAAAATAATTTTAAAATGATAGTATCATTTTATGGGCATTACTCCTGCTACCAATCACACAAAGTGTTAATTTTGATATCTCTTTATAAAGCTGCTGGGTAACAATCTTTTTTTGGAATATGTTATACTTTTTAGCTGTATTTGCTAAACTCCATTGTAATGTGAGCTCCTTCATATGGATTACTTCATATATAGACATTGTGCTGTTTACCTTTTCAGAAGACTGACCACAAGAGCACATCTCTATATCAGTATCCACAACTGTTCACATGGTGTCAGTCAGAAATACTTCTGGGTCAGTACCTGTGCTATCTGTTAAGCATGGACAGCAGTTGTTGTCAGGTCCACTATTATCTAATATCACCACATTATCATCATCATCGTCGTATGCTAATATAACCACCTGAAGTTGTCTGGAGGGGAAGATGATGACTATATTTAGTAACTTGACATAGACCCAGACTCTTCCTCCTCTGCTCTGGATGAACAGGAGGATTGGCTGAGCTACCTGAAAGCATAGCTCATTTCTTTCTATGCATTGGGTGGATGCTTTGGGCCCAGTGTCCATCCAGGCCAACAGACTGGAAATGAATGAAAAGCCTTTGGTTCAAGTCCACATCATGCCTGTTCTGGCCTTGCAGCGTAGAAGCTGCCTGAGCTTTAAGTAGCTTTAGTCCTCCATTAGTATACAAGATGTATTCGGAGCTCCTTGGCTCCTAATTTTTGCTCAATCAGCATAAAATATACTTTCTGTGTCTGTGCTGGCATACAATGAAGAACTGAGCATAGTATATTACCTGCCTCATGATGTAAAGGGCAGCTGTTTCCTGAAAAATAGCTGTATCAACATGACCCGTCTTATAGAGCAGTGACCTTCCCTGGGCATATTGAAAATCAATTTTGTGACAAAAATAAGTTCCAAGCCTTAAGCCTTAAGCCTTTTGCCTTAAGCAAATATGCTCAAATATGGTTTCAAACTTCAGTTAAAGACACAAATGCTACTAATCGTAATTTCAGTTCCTTGTCCCTATTTGGTAACTTCCCTGTGAGCTTCTCCAGTTACTGGGAGAGAAAGGAAATGAGCCATTCAACTTCATACTCCATGACTAAAATATTAAATAAACTATCCCTCTGATTGCACTTGCACACCCCTTCTGAAAGTATATAAAAGACAATGAGATGTAGAGCAGAGGATTTCACGAGCATAATTAGAGTTGTATTTGGGTTTGAAGGGTTTTTATTACACCAGTGATGATAAGTCAAAAAGAGAGGTTGGTTCTCATTTCCCAGGGAGTATTTGCAGGGCAGACATGAAAAATAGTACAGATGAATTGTGCAAATTTCATTTGGCATCTATTGAGACATAATAAATGTTCAACCCTGCAAAGAAATGTTTATAGTCAATTTCCAGAGTAAAATTTTAAGACCATTAACTGTATTAGATTTAAAATGTTCTCTGTTTATCATTATTCCTTGAGTAGTACAAGCATGATTTTATTAATGTTGGATTAATAATCTATCTGTTAGATTATGTGCATAAAATGCCTGACAGGAATGTTAATTGGGGCCCCACTGTATAAGTAAGAAACATTTCAGAAAGAGTCTCAGCCTAATCGCAAAGTTGCATTGCAAGAGAACTGAAACATGGATTGATTTACACAGTATGTGTATCTGAGCAAATGAATTACCTAAAAATTCTTTCAACAAGCTTTTTTCATACTGCTAGTGCTGTAGTGCTGAATGCTGTGCATGAGGCATGATGTTGCCGAAACATTCAATGTGCTCAGGATCTCACCCACGGTTTACCTACATAATGTCATAATAATACAGGTCTTACCTCATAGTATTTATCATCATCGTCTTCTCCGCTCTGCAGGCTGATCTTCATCGGTTCATTTTGGCACATACTATTCGATATTAGGACAATTGTAGCTAAAGCAAACAGAGTAAACTTCTTGGTTGAAATGACTTTCATTTTTCTCAAGCTAAGCTTTGTTAGGGAGCTCTGAATCTGTACAGAAAAGAAAACTGCCATCTTTTTATATGATCAGAAAACAAAAAGATTTTTTTCGTTATGACATCAGTCTCTAAAGCTCCAATTCTTAATATTAATTAGGGAAGTAATTTGAATATATTTAAAGAATGCTGGGAATTTCTTTTGTAAAGCTTTTTAAACAACACAGATTCTTGTTAGGGGCACGCTGACTTTCCAAATATTTTCTTCTGCAAAGTATGTCTTAATTAGCAAATTTTGAGAGCCACAGCAATAGGGACTTAGAACAGCCACAATGCTCCACCACCAGTAGACAAAATCACCTGGTTTTCTTTCTTTTGTATTGTTGTCCTCAGGACTATGCAAGGAAGCTTTTTCTGTGTAAGTATTCTTCTGCTTAAAAGATCCTTTTGGACCATATAATGCTTGTTTACGCTTATGTACAACTCAGGACATTTGGCCCATTGAAATCAAGTACTGTCTTTTGAAATTGTTGATAGGGTCATAAGGGATGTTATGCATCAATGTGATCTACTGACGCACATAGTGACTATGCTCTAAATTGGGCATGTTAATTTGCATTCGGAGTGAATTGGGTACATGCTTTTAAAACCCTGCCCATCCATTAACTTTTCAGAAATTTCAAAGGTTGCTTCACATCTATATTCTTAAGGCCACATTTCCAACAGTGGTTTTTAAAAAAGCATCTGCTACTTTGCTGCATGTGGTGAAAGCTCACGGCTGCCCGTGCATGTTCTGTCCAGAAGAAGATTCAGGATTCACATTAAATGTACCCTTAAAGTGCATCTTGAATTGGTTGCTAGCCAGGCTAACATTTTAAAAAAAGAAAAAAGAGCATATTGTGTTGTTCTTCCATTTGTTATTTTTAAATTCTTGAACTGATTTAAGTTAATACTTAAAATCAGCTGCATGTGGAGGAAACATGATTACTCATGGTAAGTACTCACACTGGAAACTGAACACAAGACATGTTATTTTGCAATTCTACACCAGGCCTGTAAAATGTCTGTTCCATCACTGCACCAATGCTGTCCCAAGAGAATGTGCTTTATGCTGTGGGCAGCATGGTTAGTATGGACTGTTTCTGTGTTGACCATATGTTGCTATGTTTGTTGCACTATGAAGCTGTAGGATTTGCAAATACATCATTGCAAGTACATATATGCCCTCTACAACTACCTGAAAGGAGGTTGTCATCAGGTTGGTCTCTTCTCCCAGACAACCAGCAGTAGGACAAGAGGGCACAGACTCAAGCTCTGCCAGGGGAGGTTTAGGTTGGATATTAGAAGAGATTTTTTACAGAGAGAGTAATCAGACATTGGAATGGGCTGCCCAGGGAGGTGATGGATTCACCATCCCTGGAGGTTTTCAAGATGAGTCTGGATGTGGCATTTAGTGCCATGGTCTAGTGATGACGGTAGGGTTGGACTCGATGATCTTTGAGGTCTCTTCCAATCTGGTTGATTCTATGATTCTATGATTTTAGAATTTTAGAATTAAGTTGACTGGTTTTATAGGTTTGAAATTGTGGCATGTGTGGTGTAATTTCTGCCTTAGGTTCCCTGAAACTGAGATCCTGAAAGCCATAAGTAGCCTTCAGAGGAAATCCCATTGTGGATTTCACCTGGAAGTGAAAAGGGAACAGTTGCCCAGGCTGCAAGTGCATATTGCTGGTTCATGGGATGTAAATAAGCACAATTCTGTGTAGTCTCAGTGGGCAGTGCTTCATCTTTGCATTTTCTGAGACTGTTCTACAGGACGTTTTAGAGTGGAATGTGGTAGGGAGGGAGGGAAAAGATACTGTATCAGTAATGATTTGTGAAGAGAGGATGTATGTGCATACAAAGAAAGAAAGCATGATGATGCACTTGTCCTCAGAGTGCCTTGGTATGAACCCTCCTCTCAGAGTAGGTGACTTTTTTTTTTTTTTTTTTTTTTTTTTTTAGCTACTGTTCTTGGCAGGGAAATGGAGTTCTGGGGATATCAAAATTTTAGTGTTTGCAAATCTGAGCACAGGTAATAAAATGAAGATGTCAATGGAGAAGATCTCTAGAAGGAGCCCATGTCCTCTTAGTGCTCTGGCATGTCAGGGGCAGCAATAGTTGCTTTTCACTGAGGGCTGAATTCAGGTACCCAGCTCTCTGGAGCCTCATGTGCGGGGGCTTCCATCTGTGGGAACATATGGATTTTCCAAGTTTGCTTTCTTAATGGTAACAATAAAGACAACAATGAATGCAATTCATGCTCTAATATCTACCTAACGTGGTCATTTACCATTGGACTTTCTTTTTACCTAGCTGCTGGTTTATGGGCCTCTCTTGATCAATGGTCTTTCAGTTAACTGTGTGAAGATATTTGCTTTCTAAATTAAATGGAATTGGCAAGATACATTGTTTGGCACAAATACAAATTCCGTTTTTCCTAGAAAGGATAGGAAAATGTATTGCTATTGTCTAAGTCACATCAGGGTTTCTTGACATCCAGCTAGTCTCCTATGTATGTTGATTTTCTAAACAACATTAAGTGAAGTTTTCAGGTGTTTTGCATGCCATGCAGTTAGGGAGTTGTATGTCCCTGTACTTTCTGATGAATTGATTTGCCTTTAACAGCTCTACAGCAGAAACTCCTTGGAAATTTCAAGTCAAGCAGTTATGATGATTGTTCATTAAATTTCCTGAGGAAGGATTTGTCAGGTCCTAGTGCTCAAGTACCAGAATGGATAACATGAGGATTCTTCATCAATGTCACTGCAAATTCTGCTGTGTTTAGGCCATCTTCAGTAGCTGCATAAGCTGGGCCAGCTGACTTCCAACTAATGCAACTGAGGCATCCTGGCATGATCCATTAAAATTATTTATTTGTAGAGGGAAGACACATTTGTTGGTGCAACAAGCAGCATTGGAGAAGAGTGCTGTTTTTTCTTGAATTTTTCCAGCTTGATCCACAAAGGGTCTGATTAAGGTCTGTGGAGGGGAGAGGGCTCTGAGTATTGCTGAAAACAATTTTTTGAGTTCTTAGTCCCTGGTCCTACACTTATTTTGTCTTGCTCTCTTACATCAATCGTCAGCCAAGCTATTCAGAGGACTTGACCATAACTGGATTTCTGTTTTGAAAGTTCCTCTGTTAAATAGGAATGAGCCCTGCCATCGACATGTGAAACAAGCCTCACAGGCATGGCCAATTTTCAGACTTTTTCCACAGGTGCATACTACAAACTAGGACAAGGTAGTGCTTCCTTCTTTTTTTTTTCTCTTCTTTTAATGTAGGTAGGCACATTTGGCACATTTGACTCTTCATTACTGTAGGTAGACACATTTTGGCACATAGATAGGAGCATTTTTGCTTAGTCGTACAACAGTAATGTGGATCTGATCTATGACAAATTGATGGATAACTACTTTAAAAATTTGACATTAAAGTATAATTAGTAGTGATGGCAAAAGTAGCTCAATTTCATAAGCCACTCCATGCACAGTTATTTGATTCCGGTGAAAGAACAAGTTTTAATATTGCTCTTTCTTTATATAAGAATATACTGATAAATCCTTATCCATTATTAACAACATATTGTGTGAAAATTGCATGTTATATGACTCATGCCACCAATAAGCATCTGTGCATTTCCATAATGATAAATCATTCATAATATATTCATTTTTCCATTATGTATTATATGACCTATCTTATGGCTCATTTTGAAGTAAGAAGATTTTAAAATGTTGGGTTTTTTAAATTGGCAAACAATTCTGTTCATTTTTCACTCATTCCTGTGGCATGCAGTGGGTTGTGCTGTCTTTGCTGTTGTGCTTCTGTTCTGGTGCACCATGCAAGATGTATTTGCCCAGAAGATATATAACTAAGCAGATCGACATACCTCCAGTCCATTCAGTATCCTGAGACTGTACACAGATGTAGACCTGGTGTCCCTCTCATACTGATAATAAATATTTCAGTGATCAGGGGAACCAGTGAAACTTGGTTTCCCATGACGTTGTGACTGAAGATTAAGCGACAGTGTGTGTTCTCTGAGGTCCAGTAAGGATTAACCTAACTGTAGATCTCTGCGTGAGCAGTGCGTCTATCCTCTCTTGCTATGCCTGTTATTTCAACAAGACTTCTCCCTGCCAAATTCAACTGAACTTGGCTCCTAGACTTGAAAGTTATCAAGGGTGACTGACAGACAGACACTTAAGCACAGAGAAACAGATTTGCCTCATTTCATTAGGAAACCAATACTAAATCAGGAATGACTCTACTGAAATACCACAAGTATAAAGCATCAACATCTGTACAATTCCTGTGGGCACAGTGATAATTTCTGTCTTTATTAATGAGGCATTAGCTCAGCTTTTGGGATTTTGCAGACAAATAGGGGAATTTACTATGAAAGGCCCCTTTTTTGTGTACTATAATTTGGTATGGAAAATTAACCCTTACGAAACGTCCCTGTCTGATTTGCAAAATCACACATTCAGTTTAAACCAGATTTTCATCTATGTGTAGCTCTGAGCTTTGCTGTTAGCTGGGTAGTAGTAAACAAAGGACAAATGCATACAAATGTCAAGGTACAAATAATTTTATTTTAAGGTTAACACTTATGAATCAGTCACCAGTATTAGAAGTTATTTTCCCCCTTGATTAGCTGAATCCAAGATATAAATATGTAACTTAACATTTTAATTTTTTTAATTATTCTTTTTCCTTGAGCTTTTAGAGCAGCAGAAAAGCAAGAGAGACAGAAAACAATAAGAGGCTTGAGTTATTATGGTAACAGGCTGAAAACAACTTTGTCTTCCTGGTAAATAAGGTGTGAACAATAATTCCCGATTAGACAGGTTCTTCAATTATACATTTGTGTTCATAATAAAATAAACATGTTTTCAATAACATTTGGGATGTAAATACATTCTTCTTCTTTACTAACTACTCTGCAGAGTGTAATACTGTACTTACCAATCTACTACGATGTGTAGCAGCTCTTGCCCATTCTTGTCT